GCACACTGTCTCAGGTGCCGACCTGAGGGGTGGGACAGCCTTTTCGAGGGCGGGGGTGGAGGGTGGGGAGGGGGTGCTGAGCGAGCCCGAGGGGCTGTCCCGGGCGGACAGGGTGCTGGTGACCCCTCTGTCCCCGTCCCTCCCGGCACAGATCCAGGCCTGAGCTGGGCGTGGGCGCTGTAAGGAGTGTCCTGCCCCCTCCCCCGCCCCCGCCCCAGGCTGCGGGTCTGAGGGTGAGTCACACACCTGGTGTCTAACTGCTGGAGGCCACGCTTACCCATCAGAGGCCTCCGAGAGCCCGTCTGAGGACCCGTAACCCATAACCTGAGGGCAGCGCTGCCGGAGCCAGCCCCGCAGCGGTCACTCCTCCCCCAGCACCGAGCATGGGGGGGGGGGGCACAGACAGACCCCAGCCTGCCTCCTGACAGTCAGGGAGGGACACAAGTAAGACACGGGCTGGTTAGCTGGGGCGGCTGGTTAGACGGGGCTGGTTAGGGGGGTGGTTAGTTGGGGCTGGTTAGGGGGTGGTTAGACAGGGCTGGTTAGGGGGGTGGTTAGATGAGGCTGGTTAGCCGGGGCGGCTGGTCAGTCGGGGCTGCGGGAGCAGGGGAGAGCGTGGCCCAGAGGCCCAGGACGGGAGGAGAGCGGGGAGGGAGGGGGTCTTGCGGGAAGGAAACACAGGGACTCCGGGTTTGACTCGGAGCGGAACGACGGCCTTTTGAACGGACGGGACCTGAGTGAGGTTTGAACAGGACCCGCCGCTGGGTCTGCAGGGCAAAGGGCGGGAGCGACAGGAGGTTGGAGGCGGTGAGGTGAGCACGGGGAGCAGACGGACGGTCTGAGACGCGGCCGGACCCGGCCTGCTGGGAGGTGAGGAGGACCACCCACCGCAGGGCCCACAGAGGTGGCCGAGGGGTGCGAGGGGACCGTGTCCCGTGAGGACGGCGAGAGAGCAGGGGCGGGGGGCGGGGGGAAGCCTGGACTGGGGGGAGGCCCGGCCTGCGGGCTGGGCCGTTGATGGTTTATTGGGGCCGGAGGGCTACAGTCTACGGGGAAACCACATGGCAGGGGTTTGGTGCGTCCTGCTGGGCGCTGACTGGTCAGAGGAGGGGACAAATCGCTTCTTCAGGTCTGAGGGCAGCTCCAGGTCCTGGGCCCAGGACCTGTGTGGAGGCCGGTGGCCCAGGGCAGGGCCCGCCCGCCCGCCCGCCCGCCCGCCCGCCTGCAGGCCCAGGAGCTGAAACAGTTCAGATAAGACGTTATCTGCCGCCTGGGGCTGGGGCCTGTGAGCTTCTCTAGGTGAGACAGGTCAGGCCCGGGAAGCGCTGGGAGGGAAAAGGATGTCTTAACACCCGGTTAAATCCAGTTACATCTGCCGGAACCTGGAACCCCGTCACCGTCCTGCCTGGCAGGGGCCCCTCGGAGTGTGGCTTGCCAAGGGGGGCCCTTTACGCTGTCCCACCAGACGCGGGGTGGCCGCGGGGCTGCCCGTTTGGTGTGTAAACGCCTGGCATTGCCGAGTCCCCTCGGTAGGGGAAGGCTGGTCCTCGGGCTCTGCCTTCCTGTGGGACTGAACTTGCATGACCACAAGTTGGGACGGTGTGGGGTCATCTGCTGGGGGCAGACCCTCCTCTGGGCGCACCTAAGCCCTGGGGCCGCCCGCTGGCGTCTGTGAGCTCTTTGACCGAAGGAAACATAATGCTTCCAGGAATGCTGTCCGCCTGGGCTGCGGAGGAGCCTGGATTCTGGGAGAAACAAACGCTCCCTTTCTGCTCCGCCGCCTGCACTCTCCCCACTGCCCGCCAGAGGGCGCTCGGCCGCCCGCCCGGAGGAGCTGCGCTCGCCCCGCCGGGTGGGAGGGTGCGGGGGGTGCAGTGGGGGTGCGGGGGGTGCAGTGGGGGTGCGGGGGGTGCGGGGGGTGCAGTGGGGGTGCGGCGGGGGTGCGGGGGGGGTGCAGTGGGGGTGCGGGGGGTGCAGTGGGGGGTGCAGCGGGGGGTGCGGCGGGGGTGCGGGGGGTGCGGCGGGGGTGCGGGGGGTGCAGCGGGGGTGCGGGGGGGGTGCAGTGGCGGTGCGGGGGGTGCAGTGGGGGTGCGGGGGGGTGCGGGGGGTGCAGTGGGGGTGCGGGGGGTGCGGGGGGTGCGGCGGGGGTGCGGGGAGTGCGGCGGGGGTGCGGGGGGGTGCAGTGGGGGTGCGGGGGTGCAGTTTGTCTGTTAGCCTCACTGGGGACGAGGGGCTGCCGTTCCTGGGGAAATACGCGCATCGGAACCTAAAGCCTAGGATAACCGTTAGGCCTCCGCGTCCCCGCCGCGCACCTGCCCGCAGCCTCCTCCTCGGTGCCCGCACCGGGCCTGCCCGGCGCTCTGTCTGTCGGAAGGAGAAAGGGTGGGCGTTCCTGCAGCCGGCAGCCGCCCAGAAGCCATGCCGTCCCACATACAGCGCCTCCGACGGCAGGCGTTGTCAAAAACCAAGATTTCTGCCTCGTCTGAGGATTACCCGCAGCTCTAGGAGCCTTACTTATTTAGGATCCTCCCTTAAGTCCATTCTCTTAAAACAACTTAAATGCCTACGTTGCTCTCACCCCAAACTGCTCACCATAAAGCTGTGCTTTTCTGGCGTGCGATCACTGAGCGTATCTGGATCGGCACCTGTCGCCAGGGACCCCAGGTCCCACACCACCAAGGGATCCTTTCGCAGAGGGTTCAGGGACCAGTGGGCTGAGGGGAGAACTGGCCTGTGTGTCCACCTGAAGTGCATACACACCTCGCCTAACCCAGCGGTTGGCAAACTCATCCGTCCACAGAGCCAAACATCAAAGCACAACGACTGAAATTTCTTTGGAGGGCCACACGTTTTAAACGCAAGCTGCTTCTAACGCCAGTTTTTCAACATAGACTCGCCCAGGCCGCGGTATTTTGTGGAAGAGCCGCACTCAGGGGGCCAAAGAGCCAGCCGCAGGTGGCTCCCGAGCCGCAGTTTGCCGATCACAGACCTAACCCCAGCCTCCTCCCTTTCGGAGTAAGTCAGTGACCTGCTCCGTACAACCCACTTCCCAGAAACCGTGAGACGAGGGGACTCGGTGTCTCCTGCGCGATTAGAACATGAGCTGGCTTCCTGACGGCTCAGAGATCGCATATTTAGTAAGTCCTGACGCCAGAAGGATTCATCTTTAGATGCAAATATCACGTTTGCCCCCAAAAGTTAGAGCGAGGACTCACGCTAAGGGCATGATGGCGCCCCGAATGCATTCACACCGACAGAAGGACGCGGAGAGGCAGGGGAGGAGCTGGACTTCAGGACCTCCCCTGGGATTAGCACTGAGACCCCGCCGCCTGCCTTTCAACAAGAGGCCGCTTTACCAGCATCTCAAAGGCGAGCAGAGTCGAACAGTAACCCAGTTAGAGTCTGTTTCTCCTCTTCTGAATGCAATGTGTCGCGTGAGGGGGGGACCGGACCAGCTTGCCAAGAGAAGGCGACATGGAGAGAAAAGGCTCAGGTGTGGGAGCTCATGGCGCAGGCACAGAGCTGGTGTGGGGACCGACAGGGGACGTGAGCCGGGAATGAGCCGGCATAGGGCGTGCCTGTAAGTCTGGCTGAGCTTAGACTTCGTCCAGTCCGAAAGGACTTGTTATTCAATCGGAAGCTTTTGAGCAGCCCTGGACTTGGTTAAAGTGTCCCAGATCACAGGGAAGGCTTGTGAGGGAAAAATATAAAGGAAGGGTCAGAGGGATGGAAGCTCCAGTGCCTTGGGATTCTCAAACTTCAGCGCCAGAACCACAGAGGAACTTGTGACGGATGTAAATTCCCGGTCCTTGTCCTCCCATATTTTCGGTCCCATACGGTGCCAGTGAACGCCAACAGAAATCCCCAGTTTGGGAGGCGGTGGCAGTGATGGATACAGTTCAATTATGAGACAGCAGGGCTGAGAAGTTGGCCTGGCTGGGAGGCAGCCCCTGGGACATAGGCTGGCTGGAATGTGGACCATGCAGTCGCCCCGAGGGGAGCTGGCTTATATAGATTGAAGGCCCTGCCCCTGGTCTCTGATTGGCCTTCTCTTATGCAAATGAGGACTCCAAATCCTTGCAGTTTGATTGGCCTCAAAAACACTGTCCTCATTGGTCAGAACGAGTCACTGTCATGGCAGAGCTCTGCAGTTGGTTTGACAGGGAAAGTATCAGTCTTATTGGTTGACATAGGATTCCACGAATTCCTTTATAGGGTTGGCCTAGATGCAGAACAGTGCAGTTCCATGCAGGCTTGTTCAGTGCAGTTTGCTGAGGGTCCCGCTTGGTGACGGCTCTATGCTCCACTTCTCCATTTGAGCCCACGGGGCCATCAGGGCCCATTGCGCATAGGGACCCACGTAAAATTCCCAAAACTCCTCACAGCCAACCTTCAAGGGCAGCTGGATTGGCATCAGGCGTGTCCATAAACTTCCTCCTTCCTCTGGCACAGAGGACTGGCGTCCCTCTCTTTTCCATAAGGCTTCTTCCCGGGCTCCCCACCCGATAGACCCCCGCTGCCCGGCCCACGTGGCGGCCAGGGCCCGGCTGACCGGCAGGTGGAGTGGAGCCGGGGTGGACAGGCTGGCCAGCGCCCACGGCAGGGAGGCTCCGGCCCCGCCCCGCCCCGCCCCGCCCCGCCCCGCCCCGCCCCGCCCCAGCAGGAAAGCCCGCAGCCCGGCTTTGTGAATGGCGTGGAGCTTACGCATAAACAAGTGGGCGGGGTTCTGTGGTGACTGGCTGACGCGGCAGCCAATTATGTAGCGGCGCCCCCTCATCTCCCTGACCTACACTTCCGGGGCATGGCCAGTCCTTCAGGACGCCAGGCGTTGCTCTGCGGAGCGGAGTCGATTTGATTGGCTGGACGGAGCGGAGTCCCCCCAACACCCCTAGCGCCCCCCGGAAGAGCGTGCTTGACAGACAGGTCTGACGGCCAGTGGGCTGTCAGGAGGCCGGGCGGAGGCTCCGGGGGGCGGGGCTAGGGCCGGGCGGAGCCTGACGCGCAGAGCAGGGCGGGGCGGGCAGGGAGCGGGCAGGGCCCGGGCCGTCCGGGCCGGAGATGCTGCGGGGACGCGAGGGCGCTTAGCCGCGGCGGGGAGCCCCGCGCCCACCGGAGGCTCTGAGGTGAGACACCCTTGGGTCCGCAGCCCCGCTGCCAGCGTCCCCGCCGCCGCCGGCGTCCTGCCCGCGGGCGCTCCGGGCCCCGCCGCGATGGGGGCGGGGCGGGCACCTGCCCATGTCCGCGGGCACCTGCCGCGGCCGGAGGGGCCCCGGGTCTGCCCCGGAGGGAGGGGGAGCGGGCCGGGCTGGGCAGGGAGAAGGTACCGGCCCGCCGGCCCGCACCCGGGTCCCGCCCCACCCGGCCCGTTCCCACGCCCGGGCCTGTGCCCTGTGCCCTCGGAGCGGGGTGGGGCGGGGCGGGGCGGCCCAGCCCCGGAGACCCTCGGCCTGGCGCTGGAGAGGTGGGGAGCTGAGGCCGGACGCGGCCGTGCCCATCGGGGCGAGACCGGTTTGTCCGGATTCTCCGCGAGGAGGTGCGTTTCCGCCCAGTGCGTGCCGTGCGCCTCTGCCCGGGAGCACCGCGGGCCCGGGGGCCGCCCGTGGACCCCGAGGCCGCCCGTGGGCCCCGAGGCCGCCCGTGGGCCCCGAGGCCGCCCGTGGGCCCCGAGGCCGCCCGTGGAGACCTGCCAGCGCGGTGCCCACGCGGGGACCTGCGCCCAGGAGGGAGGGAGGACCGTCTCTCAGATGCTGGCACAGGCCGTGTTCGCTTCGTTGGGGCGGGCCCCGATCTCGCCCCTCAGTTCCCGGGAGGGTGTGTGTGGCCGAGCAGGCAGACCTGCCGGATTGTTTCCTAATGAGCAGAGCACCTTACGGCCTCCGCCTCGCTGTGGCGCCTTCCTGTGGGAGAGCGCCCTGGGGTGTGGGTAGACTGGACACCCATAGACAGTGCCCTTATTCCCGAAGGATGGGCTTCCGGCGGGTGCGAAGGGCCGTTTTCAGGTGGTTATTGGGAGGAGCTGGGAGACAGTTTGGCTTGATTCTTCCAGGCAAGGTCATGGGGCTGGACTTGGCGGGGACTGCACCCGGGTAACGTCACCTGGTTGTGATCGCTGTGTCCCAAGGGGGGTCCCCTCTTCAGTCAGGCCTGCTTAGATCAGTGGGTGTTGCTGTCATTCTGTGCCTCTACATTTTTTTATCCCCCAACGATTTTCATCTTAGTCATCTTGAATGGCAGGTTCGCAGTTCTTGGCAATAAGTTGCTTTTACTGGATATACACGGACTGGCCATATGATGATGATCTCTGAACGCATAATAATCTGGCCGCTCGGTGTATATGTATATTAGAGGCCCAGAGCATGAATCTGTGCATGGGTGGGGTCCGGCCAGCCTGGCCAGGGGGAGGGGACATGGGCGGCTGGCTGGCTGGCTGGCCTGCCTGCTGGTCCAACTCCTGGTCGAGGGGACAATTTATTTGCATATTAGCCTTTTATTATATAGGCTATACGCTGAGTGGCCAGGTTATTATGCGGTCCGAGGTCATAATCTGACCACTCAGCGTAAGTCAACAGGTTGGTGGAAGAACCAGCGTCCTCATTCCTTTGACTTAATTACTGGGTGGCACGGTGTCTTGGAAAGCAAGCCTCGTTAACTGGCATAGGCAGGGCACCTCCATGGGTGTCACAGGCTTGCAGAAAACACTTTTTTTTTTTTTTTTTTTTTGCTGAACCTAGGGACATTTGGTACCTGATTCTCTCATGATTTGCTTCCCAAGAGTTCAGTAAAACGCTGCTCTGCTTGACCCTTTCCACCTGCAGCCTTCTGCTTGGTGCCAACTGGAGCTCAGAGAAGGGCCCTGGGGCCGGGGGGCGGGGGGCGGGGTACCCCGCAGACGGTGCTGTCTGGTGTCTAGGCCTCTCCCTCTGTACTTTGTCAGTGACCCCTGGCTCTGTGGCCTTAGAGACATGCCCTCGCCCACTGCCTACAGCGCTGGGGGAAGCTCTCTGCCGCCTCTGCTGCACCTGTACCCTTGGATGCCTGGCCCTGCCATCTCCCATTCTTCAAGCACTTGAAAACGGTCATTTCTTGGGGACGGTCCTGACAAGACCCCGTCAGCCCTGTCTCCCACACGCTCGCCCTCCCGTTTTTCATTCTCTGGTCGCTACTTTTGCTGGAGAGAATCATTTTGTGCTGCAGACTGCTCACTGGGGACACACTTACATTGGCCTTTGGACCTTACTTTCCCATAACGCCGAGGAGAGCGCTAGACTGAGTCATGTGGGCACAGAGCATTCTGTGCTGGCAGCGACGGCTTAGCTCAGGGCTCCTGCGTTCTGGCACCAGAGCTGAGCTGTGCCACCGAGGATTCGGAATCCCGGCCAATCCAGGTTCCTGGGGGCATTTAAAGGTGGGGGAAATGTTGGAGCCAAAAGACGGGGGGAAGGTCTTTGTGCGGAAGCTAGTTCTGAAAGCGTTTTGCCCCTGCGTTTTATAACTACGTGTTATATAATGCTGCGCTGTATTCCTATGGAGGGAGGCACAGTTAGTTCTTATTTCCAAAGGCTTAACTGTTGCTGTTGGCCGTCTGTCCTCCCCTCCTCTGCAGGTGCAGTGACGTCGGGGACAGAAGTTGGATGACGCAGGCGGCTGTGCTTCTTCGTGGGGAGCACACGTTATGAACCCTTTCTGGAGCATGTCTGCAAGCTCCGGACGCAAAGTAGGTCCCGGTGACGATGACGGATGTGGGCAGGACACCATTTGCATAAGGGACAGAGGCGGCCCAGTAACCTTCACCAGGCCACCGTCTGGTTTTTCCAGTCCAGGCTTTCCTTTAGAGAAGCAGGTACTCTGTGGGTTAAAGTTAGTTTCCGGGACGGAGGTCGCATCTCAAATAGAAATGACTCTGGGAGCACCCAGACGATGTGGATCGGCGATGCTAACCGAGGACTGCGGCTCACGCCTGAGCCGCGAGATGCTCTGGGTGGGAAGGCCCTGGGAGAGGCCGGCCCAGTGTGGCCAAGTCCAACTCGAGGCCACTGGTTTAATTTTTCTAAATACAATGTCTCTTTTCAGTGGCAAAACAGAATACATCTTAGGAAAGCCGAACGTATGCAGGCAAAAGCGTAATCCCACCTCGGAGAGCACCGCTGCTCACCTATTCTCTGGCGCAGGGCATGTATTTGAAGGCAGTAATTTAGCGGCCAGAGGAGGTTTCTCTGGACTCCCCTCGTCTCTCTCTCTCCTGGGGATGATGGCTTAGGCGGGGGAGCGTCCAAATACGCCCACGTATGCCCCAGGGACAGGGTCTCAGCTGGACCCACTGCCAGCGAGAAGAGCTTCCTTCCTGTTCCCAACCCAAGGCTCATGCCGGGCAGTGACTAGCTCACTCGGCGCTGGTGTGTGAGCTGCTCAGGCCTGCGTCTTGCACAGCCATCTCATTGTTCAGTCACCCTGTGCCCTCTTGGGGGCCCCCGGAGAAACCATTTTTTTCTTTGTTTCACTTAAGTTTCGTGAATATTGGCTTTCTGGGCTCCATAGGACGCAGCTCACAGGAGTTTTCTAATGAGTCCGTCTTGCTTCAGCTCTGTGCTGCTCTGGATGCTGCCCGCACAAAGGCCTTTCGAGTCATCTCGGCCACGGTGCCAGGATGTCCTCTTAAGAGTGACTCCAGCTTTCAGGCCAGGGGCTAAGGACAGCACACACACCCTGTGTGGGAAGAACCGTCCGAACAGCCCTGGTTGGCTTGGCTCAGTGGCTAGAGTGTCAGTCTGCGGACTAAAGGGTCCCAGGTTTGATTCTCGCCAAGGGCACATGCCTGGGTTGTGGGTTCGATCCCCAGTGGGGGACGTGCCGGAGGCAGCCTATCAGTGATTCTCTCTCATCATTGATGTTTCTATCTCCTCCCTTCCTCTGTGAAATCAATAAAGAAATATGTATTTAAAAAGAACCATCCTAACATGTTCTCCCACTGCGTCTCGAACAGCGGTCTGACGGGGAAGAGAAGACGGCGACTGGGGACGGGAAGGCCAGCCCCCCGCGCACGGCTCCCAAGAAGCAGCTGCCGTCCATCCCCAAGAACGCGCTGCCCATCTCAAAGCCCACGTCCCCCGCCCCAGCAGCTCCTCCAACGAATGGCACGCACGCTGCCTACGGGCCCTTCTACCTGGAGTACTCCCTGCTGGCGGAATTGTGAGTCCCTCGCCCAGCTGGCTGCGTTCTGAACGACTCTGAAGGCAGAGAGTGGAAGCCTCTAATGGCCTGGGCTCAGTTCCTGGCCGCCATCTAACCTTCAAGCTCAGACTCCTACCTCTGCAGGGTCAGCCTGATGTCTGTGGAGAGGGAGGCCGTGGTAGGCAGGACAAGCTTTCTTAGCCAAGGCCTGAGGAATGTCATACTCTGTCATAGATGCAATGACTCTCATGCAGATCCTGGGCAAGTAGGATTGGAAGGCAGATGTGTGCGTTGATTTCCATGCCTGTTTTGGGGAGTGTAACGGGGAGGAAGATTTAGGAAGGACCTGTGGTAGGTCAGGGACTTGTTTTTGGTCTTCCTTCCTGTGCGGGAGGAATCCGCCTCCTGAGGAGGTCCTAGAGACGGCACAGTGGGAGGTGGCCATCTAGCCTGCCCCGGGCAGGCCCCGCTGGAGCCTTTGTGCTGTGTTCTGGAGTCCCCTTGTGAGAGCACTGACCACTGAGGAGGTGGCCCCAGTGGGGAGAAGGAGAGCCAGCCTGGGAGGCAGGAACTGAAGGACCCGGAGGAGATTTAAGACGTGCATGATTGCACACATGGGAAGGCCCATCACTAGGAAGGGACTTGGCTCACTCCGTATGACCTCCGGAGCTGGAGGAGGTGACCAGGACGCCATAAAGACGTGGGCTCTGTGCAGGACGAGGCGGGCTGGTCAGTGAGATCAGGGTGGGACTGCGGCCGCACATGTGCGCGGTGTGAGGAGGAGGGCAGCGCCTGGCCTACCGCGGGCTCCCACAGTGACCGAGAGCAGGTGGCATTTGATTAAATAACCTGTCCCAAGGGCAGGAAGTGTGGAGAATTCTTAATTTCAATTATTTACTGAGCTGTGTCCTAGCCCTGAGCTGCAAGCACGCACTGAGTGGGGTCACGAGGCAGAGAAGTGCAGTAGTAAAGCAGAACCCTGAGTCTTTAAGCCCAGTGTGCCCGGACACACTGAGTTATGGATCGGTGGCATAAAAAAAAACAAAAACAAAAACAATAAAATGGCTTTGTCCACGCAGTTATTTAAAGGCACCGGTGTTGTCAGGCAGAGGGCGAGTGTGGTGCGGTGGCAGGGCCCCGGGCTGTGGAAGGGCCTTGTGCTGGAGGCAGTGCATTGGACAGGCTTCCATTGTGGCACCGAGCCCTCTGTCTGCACAGAACACAGAGCCCTCTGGCACACAGCACTGCAGGAGCTGCGTCTGTCAGCCACGCTGCTGTGCCAGCCACGCTGCTGCGGACACGCCCAGGGCTTGTGGCCAGGAGTGACTGCTTTTAAAGTTAGGCACATAGGTAATAAAACTGCCACCGGAGGTCCCGTCTACTTAACCCTTAGAGCTCACAGCGACATGTTTGGGCTCATAGCTCCGTTACGAAGATCGGCGTGGCATGGCTGGGGTGGGACGAGGTCCCAAAGAGCCCGAGCAGCCTGTGTCTGCTGTCTGGGCACCCACCGCTTCCCACCCCGGGCCCAGAGGGCATGTCTGTGCTGCAGGGTCAGCTCAGAGCAGAAGCACATCGCGGACAAACCTAACCATGGCCTTCTGCCCAGGGAGCAGGGCCACACTGAAAGCGACACCTCTGTGAAGCCCTGCATGGGACTTCATTCTTAACTAGAGGCCCGGTGCACGACCTTCATGCACTGTGGTGGTGGTGGTGGGGCCCTCAGCCCAGTTAGCGCCCTCTCGCAGTCCAGGAGCCCTCGGGGGATGCCTGCCTGCTGGCTTAGACCCACTCCTTGAGAGCAGGCCTAAGCTGGCAGGCGGACATCCCCCAAGGGGTCATTAGTGCTGCCTCTGTGCTCCCCAGTGGTGAACTCAGCTCCTGTGTTGAGTGTCTGCCCCCGGGTGGTCAGCGTGCGTCCTAGTGACAGGCTGTTTGGTCTATTTGCACATTAGCCTTTTATGATATAGGATTACCTAGCTCTGGGCTTAGGTGGCTGTGGAACGTGTGTGTGGTGAGCTCTGTTGTGCAGTCACAGCAGCAGTACCCTGACCAGCCCTCTCATCTACGCCAGGCGTGAGGTCCAGAGCTTACAGCAGGTTGCATTGTTCAGTTACCCCCAGCACATCTCTGGGATGCTGTTTGGAAGTGGGTTTCCGGGAGGAAAACTTGATTCTGTGTGTGCCTGTGTTTGGCTCGCATCTTAATCTGGCTCTGTGGGGCGCAGTCCCGGGGCCCGGTGAGGGGCTGGGATGACGGGGCCTGTCGGGTCGGGGCCTCGCTGCCCCTGGAGGGACTGTTTGTCCGTCCCTGACCTCCGTCCAGCCCCGCTCTGCTCTGTTGCAGCACCCTGCTGGTGAAGCAGAAGCTGCCCGGGGTCTACGTGCAGCCGTCCTACCACTCGGCGTTAGGTAAGCGCTTTCTGTGGCGGCAGCACGCTCGGTGCCTCCCACGCCAGGCCTAACCGTGCCTGCTCCCCCGCAGTGTGGTTCGGCGTGATCTTCATCCGGCACGGACTTTACCAGGACGGGGTGTTCAAGTTCACGGTGTACATCCCCGATAACTACCCGGACGGCGACTGCCCGGTAAGCAGAGCTCCGTGCTGGCCAGGGAGGAGCCCGCAGGGCGGGAAGGGGTCTCGGCCACATTTACGACTGTTTCCCACATGTCTGCCTGCGCTTCGGTCTGGGGTGGGAGGGCCTGGCCCCGCTGTGCCCTTTGCCACGCCCGCCTCCACCGGGAGCTGTGCCTGGGCTCGCGCAGCCGTGGCCGAGGCTGGCTCAGCACTCGGGGTCGTGGTGCTGGCAGAGCACCCCTCACTGCAGAGCTGCATGGCGCAGGGCAGCGGGCTGGCTCCGGGCAGGACTGCCTTGTCTGGACACTTCCTGCCCTGCCCGTGGGCACCCTGCCCCCCTCGCTCCCCTGAAAGCCACGTCTCTCTCCGCTCAGCGCTTGGTGTTTGACATCCCCGTCTTCCACCCGCTAGTGGACCCCTCCTCAGGCGAGCTGGATGTGAAGAGGGCGTTTGCGAAGTGGAGGTGAGTAGCGGAGTGGGTCCTGCAGGGGCGGGGGCAGCGGGACGCCCCCTCACGCCTGTCTCCCGCAGGCGGAACCACAACCACATCTGGCAGGTGCTGATGTACGCGCGGCGGGTATTCTACAAGATCGACACGGCCAGCCCCCTGCACCCGGAGGCCGCTGTCCTGTAGGTCCCCGCTCGTCCCCGTCCGGCTGGGCTGGGGGGCGGCCCGGGGGAGGCCGTGGGTAACGGCCCGCCTGACACTCCCCACAGGTACGAGAAAGACGTCCACCTGTTCAAGAGCAAGGTGGTGGACAGCGTGAAGCTGTGCACGGCCCGCCTGTTTGAGCAGCCGAAGATCGAGGACCCCTACGCCATCAGGTGAGTGCGCCCCGGCCCGGGGACTTACAGTGACATGGGGAGTGAGCGGAAGCATCGCCATTAGCTACAGCCCTCACTGCTCGGAACAGATAGCGGACCGCCTCAGCTCCTTAGACAGACAGCTTCCCCTCGGCAGGCACGCTGTGCTGTGGTGAGCCACTGAGTGACTCTGGTCTCTGGGGACCCGGTAACATGCCTTTTCAGTGTCAGTGTCAGCTGCAGCCCCTTTCCAGCAGCCACAGCTCGGAAGCTGCCTAGGGTAGAGTGACTCGTGTGGGACAGCAGGTTCTGGAGCTGTGACACTTGACCTTGAGGCCGAGTGGCGGGAGCACAGATCTGAAGGATGGGGGCTTAGCACTCCGCACACTGGTGCAGGGAGGCGGTGTAGTGCAGTGGGTATGGGCGTGGGCTCTGCAGACAGAGTGGTCGGCTTTGTGACCGACACAATCCCTCCTTTTCCTGTGCCTCACTTTCTTCATCTGTAAATAACAGTACCTCAGGGATCGTTTCTAGGCTTAAATGAGCTAACCCGAGGAAAATACTCTGCAAAGCATGGTTATCATGTGAGAAAATAATTTAGGTAATGTCTAAAACTTACACGTTGTCCACTGATTAGACTTTAAGTCCTCAGGATTTGTTATGACAACTGGCTTAAGTTTTAAAAGATAGATGTTCTGCAAATTTAGTGAGCCAAGCAGTTTTTAAATCTTTTTCTCTCCCTTCAGCTTTTCTCCATGGAATCCTTCTATACACGACGAAGCCAGAGAGAAGATGCTGACTCAGAAAGTAAGCTGACCGTTTGAGACCGCTACCCTGCTGCCCCTTTCTCACCGCCTCCTGCACAGACACCTGTGGGGAGACGGTTTGTCCAGTGCTGACGTCTCACCAGTCACTCTGATGTCTGTTTCTGGTTGTGCCTAGAAGAAGCCTGAGGAACAGCACAATAAAAGCGTTCACGTGGCCGGCCTGTCCTGGGTGAAGCCTGGCTCCGTACAGCCCTTCAGTAAAGAAGAGAAAACGGGAACCACCTAGAGCCGGGACTGTGGGGACTGTGCACCAGGCACTTTGCTGCGGACGCAGGCCGCCCCCGGGCTGACCAGCGGCCGGGACGGCTGCGAGTAAACTGTGCGAACTGGGACTGGGCGTCATGGTGTCCGTGTGCACGCAGGCCCTAACGGCAGGTCCTGGAAACCTCTCTCTCAGTAACGCGTTATTACTTCTGTCAGAAGTGTCTGTAGGGTGGTTATCTAGTTCAGTACTCCAGATTATTGGGGACCTTGAGGCTTAAGTATTTTTCTGAATATAATGCTAAAGGTAAGTGGCATTCTTTGGAAGTGAATAGAGTAAACGGAGTTTAGCACTACGGAATGATTTTTAAATCGGTGTCTCAGCTGTACACATGTTAGGAGGTGGAGAGGAAAGGTGTAGAGAAAGCAGGTTCCTTAGCGTTCTAGCACTTTCCGCGCAAGGCCACGCGACTCAGCCCTCAGCCCACTGTCTTACTGATTTACGAATCGCTACCAGGTGCACGGTAGGGGCGTGAGGCGGCCGGAACACTGGTTCATAGTTTTGTGTTGTTTTTTTTTAAGCAAATTACTTACTGTATTTTTATGGCAGAGGGAGAAAAAGTGTTAGAACGGTTTCTAATGAAGTCAAATATTTAAGTGATGAATGACTAATGTGTTTTGTAGAGACAAAATAAACCAATAAATGATGGTTCTTTGTCATTTATGCAGGAAACTAAATACCCTTTTCTCAGTATAACTGAACAAAGATTAATTTATAAATGCTTTATTGAAAAATACACTTATTTTCATATAAAATTACAATAGCAATAAGTATCTGGAGAGGTTTTATAAATATTTTTGCAAAACACTATTCTAACTGAACAGTGTAATAAATTCCATATTTCTTTCAGAGCAATATTAAGTTACCTAGTAACTTTGTTTATACTGATTCAATTTACAATTGAATTTTCAACCTAATATTATTCATTCGACTTAAAAACTGCTGGAACAATACTGATTAATAAAGTTATATATAGATACTTCAATAGCTGTTAAATAACCTTTTCTAATTTGTATGATTGGTACTATGTACTCAATGAAAACCTAAGCTCCTTTTTTTTTTAAACTGCCAGGAACATACCTAAAGATATTTTAAAATGCATTACCTTAGTAGACACGTGTCTTTTGGATAACTACCTCCAAAGGAAGAGGCCATAATTTTTCATGTTAATTTCCTTAATTCAACTTGATTTAAAAATCTTCACCTAGCCAGCTGATCCCTACTATTGGAGGGGTGTGGGGAGGGGAGGGAGGAACCTGGAAATTTAAAATATGTGCGCCCAGGTGGCTGCTGGGGCTTTAACAGTTCTGAACATGTACAGAAGCATCAAAGAGGATGTCGAGTGTTTAGCCTAGCAGTTTTGTACGTAATAAAGTTCACACTGTAGAAAGTGCCATCACAATATACAGCAAAACCTAGGTTAAGAAATCATGCTTTTTACAGCCCAAAAGTGCCGCTTTTTACACAACTCACGCACACCACACACCAAACACGCAAGCACCTGCCACACTGCACCACGCCTACGGGAGGGGAGGCTTCACACGGACCGGGCGACGCGGGCCATCTGAGTCTGGGCCCTCTCCCTTGTGTTTCTAAAATGCAAAGTTCTCCCAACTCCTACCGGGTGTTTTAGGCCAGAATACCTAGTTTCTCTGCTGCTTTTCATGAGCGCCAGAGACCACAAAGAGGTGGGAAGGGACTGAAACAGCCCTCTGCACACGTTTCGGCATGCTTTGTTCTCTACAATACCTGGAAAAGCTCTGCCAGAGAGTTAACAAATCCCAAACCGATTCTAGACAGCCTTGACGGCAAGCACTGGGTGGTAGGAGAAAAGGCAGATGGGATGAGTAAAAATAAGGATATTGGAAAGATTAAGGAAAAGAGCCCCGTAATCTAGCATGCATTAAAAGATGCTGTTAAACAGTTGGTGAAAGGAGTTTCAACACAACAGACTAACCTCAGTGGGAACCTCGGTCATTAGCTACGTCTTGCAGACGGCGTAATAAGGCGGTGTGATTTTCTGGGCAAATTCTTTTGGCAGGCGATTCACTTCCATCTTCCAGAAGAATCCCTCTCTTTTTGGTTGGCGTCTCTCCTGTCCGTATCATACTGTTAATTTCTCTTAGTCTCTAGAGCGAGGGAAAACAGAACAACTTGAAACCCCGGATACACATGATGCGTTGCTAAGGCAAAGAACCTCAAATAAGTGGTTTACTTTGAAGAGTTAGAACACATCCGTGGAGGACAGGACTACTGAGCTACCCAGCCTCCCCATGTCACCTCTCGGCTGGCTGAGCTGACGACGGGTGGAGGAAGGGGGTTTCACCCGCTCCAGGTGGAAAGGAAAAATGTAAGCCGACAAATCTGAGTGCTTTCTACGGAAGTTTTATAGATCAGGACGTTGCTAATGCCTTACTTCACCAACTCCATACATCCCCATCCTTCTTTAGAAATAGCACCATTTTGCACAATATTGTGCCGATTTTTTTTTTTTTTTAGTCCAGCCATTTTCAACTGGAATTTCACAAGAGAAGTCTTAATGCCCTTAATTACTCTGTAAGCCTTAATTACTCTATTTTGACATGATCTGGAATGTCATAGTTATTTATTATCTACCCTTGGAAGACTGAGAAAAGTCAGGCAAATTCTCTGCAAGGAACGTCTCCTGAGAAAACCCTGCCCAGTGCTGGAGACCAGATCTGTCCCCGGTGACAAATATTGCTCCACCAGCAGTCTAACACTGTGACTCCTCCCCAGGTGGTGATCATGTACAAGCAGGATTGCAAGTCACAACGCTGGGTGCTTAACCTACAATGCACCCTGGGAAGTGTACAGTTCTACACGTTTGACAAATACATAGGCATGAGATCACCACGGTAAAGATATAAAGCAGTTCCTTCACTGCAGGAAATCCCCTCGCTGTCCCAGCTCCCCCGCCCCAAGGCAGTCCCTGCTGGTCACTGTCCCTCAGTTCGTGCTTCTCCAGTGGCCTAGACATGGACTCACACAGGAAGTGGCCGGATCAGTCTAGTGACTTGCACTTAGGCATTCACGCCCTTGGGGTTCATTTTCGTTGCTAAGCGTATCAGTGCTTTTTATCTCAAAGTACTCCTCTGCTGGTCTACCCAGGCTTGTTTATCCATTAACCAGCTGGAGGACACTGGGTTCTCTCCTTCCTGGCAAATAGGAACCTAGTCATAATGTTCATGAGCATGTTCTGGCATGAACCTAAGTTTTCACTCCACTTGGGTAATACCTAGGAGTGAGATTACTGGTTATATGGTAAAGGTATATTTAATTCTACGTTTCAGGTATAACGGTTCTGCTACACCATTCTGTAGTCTGACCAGCAATATAAGCTTCCATCGCTTCACGGCACTGCCAGCATTTGTTGTCATTGTCTAAGACTTTAGCCATTTTCATAGGCAGATAATAGATGAAGCATTAAAATCTTTTGCCCATTTTTAAATTTGGTTTTCCTTTTGAGTTTGGATAATCCTTTATGTACTGTAGATACAAATCCTTTATCATCAGCTATGAGATCTGTAAGATTTTCTTCCAGTCTGTGGCTTTTCTATCTTCATTTTGATCATTTACTGTGTCACTCCTTTAGAGATTGTGCTATTGATGCTGTATCTAAACCCATGTTCACAAAGATCTGCTTCTATGGTTTAAGGTTCATAGTGTAGGTCTGTGGTTCATTCTGAGTTAATATTTTGTATATGGTACAAGGTCTGGGTGCAACTTTATCATCAACTGCATCCTCATAACTGTAACTTTATATATATAGTCTTCATCTGGTTGAGGAAAGCCCCTGAGAGTTGTACCATAAATGAGTGTTGGCAGGGCTAGTAAAACTACTTCTCTTTTAGTGTACTGGAAGTTTGTCATCACAGTTATTGGCACAAAGTTGGTTTTTATCCTTCCTGCTTAGACTATTCAGAGATGTATCTTTTTTCTTTTCAAAAAAAAAAACTAAAACCTTTAACTTTGAATGGCCTTCATTTTCTCTACTTTCATTTGTTTATTTCATTGATTCCTTCTCTTTCTCAAGTTGCTTAGTCGCTAACTTGAAACCGTTTTTCTTTCTAGATAGGTATTTAGAATTATAGTTTTTCCTCTTAGCCGCATTTCACAAATTTTGATATGTTGATTCAGAAATACACAATTTAGTTTCCAAAAATTGGGGAATTTTCCAGAGAAAATGCATTATCTGAATCCTTTACAATTTACTGAGACTTCCTGAGCACCTTGCCTTGCACCCTCGGCAGCCTGCTGACTTTCACCACGAGGCCTGACACAAGCTTCCCTCCCCGGCCCGGCCCTGCCCCAGACAGAGGCCGATGCGGCTCAAGAGCCACGCTAAGTGACCAGCACACTGCACTGTCTGCACGTCCGTTCTTCCCTCGTCAGAGACAGCACGGGGGACAGAGACACTGTCACAGGAACAGGTACTCCGGCCATCAGTTTAGAGAAACCCATTTTCTTTCCCTAAAAAAATTGGGAATTTAAAAATTTTACAGATGGAATAAAAACACACAAAATCCCAGATTTACAGTAGAATGTTAAAAATGCACAAATAGAAAAAGGAAAGAATGAAGAAAAATCCAAGTCCCTTAATGTGATTTCCAACTGTGAAATTCTCCCCGCAAACCCCTGGTCTTTGTTCTCCCGGGACCTAACTGTTCCCTTTTCCCTGGAAGCTCCCTCCATCGTTCTAGACGCCTAAGTCTGTGGAGGGTAAAAAGAGCTGAGAGGGCCCGGGCTCACCTTGGAGGGACTGTTGCTGAAGTAGTAGAAAATCTTTTCTCGGGGAGAAAGCATGATTTCGTGCTTGTGCGGGGAGATGTAGACGGGGTGGTTCTGGGACAGCTGCACACGGCGAGGGGAGCCGGCTCTGACAAACGGGTAGGGGGACAGCGGAGGGGCGTCCGTCTGTTAAAAAAGAAAAAAAAAAAAGCATTTCTAAGCCAAGCAAAACTTCTAACCAGGTCTTTTCTGAAAAGGGTTATTTTTGTTATAAGAGTGAAAAGACAATAAACCATTAGCTTGAGGAATGACACCAACTAATAAACCTAAAGAAAGCCATACAAACGGCAAACTCGGAAGGGCTTGCTTGTGCCAGTCCCTGCTTTAAGCACGTGTAGTGCATTATGTCATTCAATCCCCACACCGACCTCAGCAGCTAGGCCCGTGGTCGGCAAACTCATCAGTCCGCAGAGCCAAGTATCAACAGTACAACGATGGACATTTCTTTGGAGAGCCACGTTTTTCAAACTTCAACTTCTTCTAATGCCACTTCAACACAGACTCGCCCAGGCCGTGGTGTTTTGTGGAAGAGCCGCACTGCAGGGGCCAAAGAGCCGCATGTGGCTCCCGAGCCGCAGTTTGCCGACCACTGACTAGGGAGGCTCGTGCCCGTTTTATGGAGGAGGAAACGAGGCCTGGGGAAAGCTAACCAACCGGCAGGGCTGCCCAGCTGCTCAGTCTGGACGCCGGGAGCTGTGCGTGCCCTGGCCTGGCTGTGCTCCGCAGGGAAGCCAGATACCTTCTCCTCCTGTGAGGCACAACACTGTAAACTGAGTCACGCTTTTCCGTTGGACTTCCTCCCTCTGACTTAACGAGAAAACTATCAACAAAACCAGCTTACCTACGGAACTGCTCACACAGCAGCGACTCCTCGCCCCTCAAAAGTGAAAACAAACTACGAACAGTCGCCGTCAAACCTACCACGTTGGCCTGCGAGTACTTGAGAGCGAACGTCTGGATCTGTTTGACGTAGACGTTGTTGTAGAACTGGATGAGGTCGCCCCTCTCCTCCTCCTCCAGGTCGCTGTTGGCCCCCGTGAGGTGGGTGGGCGTGGGAGGGGCGCTGCTGGGCTGGGGGACGGGCAGGGTGCTGCTGGACCTCATGACGGGGCTGGAGTCTCTGCTGGCTGTGGTGGGCAGAGCAAGGGTTACACAGAGGCTGCTTTCCTCCTGCCGAATTTCCCCTTTGGAACAGCTGCCTGCCATCCTTGTATAAGGGCAGCAAATGGGCATTCATTCTCCTTACCGGGAGCAAAGCGCAGGGAGATAATAAGTACTAACGTCCCCCCCGGCCATAAATGTGGAGGGGCACAGTGAGGTGCCACTATAAGTCTCCCCAAGTCCCCAGCACCTGGCCCTGCATTAAGTGGGGGAACACTTAGGGAGGGAATTTCGGCAGCGGGTTCAGCTGGCACGCCAGACTCCCCTGAGACGCAGGCCAGCGAATTCCTGCCTGATCCCCCGGAGAGATGTGTTTTGCACAATGTGCCTCAAGACTACGGGATAAAGGGCAAACAGCGTTGCCACTAAATTTAGAATCATTCCTTGTCCCAGCAAATCCTTTCCCAATAATACAGTTTCATAGTTCCTTGAGAAGTAATTTCATTTAGTAATCATCCATCGTCTAGGCCTAAAACGAACTGTATTGTGTGCGTGTGCACAGAGACCCGGCTTACTTCTGTCTTTGTTCAGCTCTGTGGGAGAATTCTGATGGCTTCTGCTTTCACTGCTGCCAGAGTTTCTTCTTTTCCTTTTCCCTCTTATCAAAACACTTCTATACACCTGCAGGGAGACCAGCAGAAAGGCACAAAAAAGATGATTTATAGAACACGGCCTAGGTTACACGAGCTTGACACGTTAATTCTCACCATCCTATGACATGACAGTCCTCCTCCTCAGGGGGAGTTAATCAATGGAGCCAGGGTCTTATTGTCCACGAGACAGATCCAGGGTGGACACTGGGCCTGCTGCTTGGAATCCCAAGTACAGCCCACAAGGCGACAGAGCAGTAAAAGGACCCACCATAGAGCCAAGTCCTTCTAAGCCACACAGAGAGGGCACACGCCTGCCTCTTTAAGACAGATGAACAACATTAAAGGTAAAACTAGTCTTAAGTCTTCAGGAGATGTTGTCTTGGTTAAATGTACCACGGTTCCTGAATCAGACTGAAAGGTGGCACAGAAACCAAACCACTTCCTCCTCCACCTCTTTCCTGTGGTGAGCTAAATGACGCCGCCTGTGATTTCACATCACTCCCTCTGGGAGGAAAGAGAACTTGAACTAAAGACTTCCTTTACAGGAGAGTCTGGGGAAAAGGCTATAGAAGCAGCCCTGGCTGACGCTGTGTGTTTCTCAAAGACGCGAGGAGCGAGGCTCTGTCTGAGCCCTAAGAGGAGGAGTTACCTGGCTCCGAGCCTGTGGCTGCGTCCTGTAGCAACGCATGATGTTCTGGAAGGACTTGTCCTCTTTGGTGACCTGGGAGAGAACAGGAGTGTTCTGTGAGAGAGACATACTTCCGGCAACATTCTGTGAGCACTAGACACTTGTCCACAGTGAAACTGGTGAAAATCATTTCAAATTAGGCGCATAAAATCTAGACAAGGTCCTGGCACACAAACAAATGAAGAAATATCTATGAAAGGAAATTTAAAATTTGGCAACAATAGAGGTGGTGAACGGTACCTAAACCAAGACCTGGTGTAACATTTCACAAGAGGGAAAAAAACAGCATTTCTCTTTCTACAGAACCCCAGTAAAATGATAGACAGCTTCTACTCAGAAACTATGCAGGCAAAGAGGCAATCAAACATCATATTAAAAGTGCTCAAAGTAAAAAAAAATCTAAGGAATCCAGTATCCAACAGTTATCTTTCAAAGATTAAAATGAAATGAATATATAATCACAGACGTCCTGGCCAGGGCACTCTGGTTAGCGTGCCACCCTGCGCACCAAACCTTGTGAGTTTGATATCCAGCCCCAGTGAGGGTATGAGAGACAACCGACTGATGTGTGTGTGTGTGTGTGTGTGTGTGTCTCTATCCCTTCCTCTCTCAAAAAATCAATGGAAAAAATCCTCAGGTGAGGATAAATTTTTTTTTCCCTGAGAGTAGGGAAGTATCTTTTTCCTTTTATAATCCAAAGTACTCACTTTTGCCATCACATAAATGGCACACATCAACAACTGGTCCAGATGTCTGTCCATCATAAGCTCAGGACACTGAATTATGGAGAATTCAAAGCAGGTCCAGATCTTTTTCCTTAGCTCATCGGAAATATCCAGCTTAGCACAAAGGTCCCGGAGGCGGACCCCTGCTAAGTGGTAAACCTGGTAGATAAAAAAAAAAAAAAAAAAAAACATCTCAAAGCCTGTTTATCTAGCACATTCCCCAAACTCCTGACCAGGCAGAGGACGTGCAGAGCTACCTTCCTGAAGAAGAGCGATAAGGAGCTGGTCTTTCGGGGCCTGCCACTGCTGCCACCTGGTCCGGGGGGCGCTGGCTTCTGCTGGCCGCCGGGCGAGAGCTGCGGAAGGGCCACCGGCCCCGGGACCTGCAGGGCGGCTCCTGGCACCGGCTGAGAGCCCAGGTTCCCGGCCAGCGCCTGGGCACTGAGCGGCTGCATGGAGCCCGGCACGGCCTGGGCCTGCCCCCCGACATTCACTTGGACCGGGAAGAAGGTGATCCCTCCGTTCTCATTGGCGATGCCTGCAGTTTGTGACCAAGACAAAAGCACCAGGGAAATGCTGATGATGCAGGTTCCCAGGCAGGGTTCCCAGCCCTCCCCTCTCCTAACCCCCTCCTTGTCTCGTCGTCATTTCAGCCAAATCTCAGGTAACTTCCCAGTGACCGCCGCGGACAAAGAACTCGGGGTCCGGCCCGGCCTGCCTCACCTTGGACAGGAATGGTCACAGTCTGTCCATTGTTGGCCGTGACAGTGGCCGTTGCCATGGGGACCAGAGTCTGTCCGGGAACCGGTGTGACGGGGACCGCCTCCCCGGGCACGCTCTGCACGGGGACAGCGCTGACCAGGGGCTGCGGGGGCAGGCGGCCCGGGACTCCCCTCTCCGAGGGGCTGTCGCTGTCCACGAAGAGCCGTCTGCGCGTGGAGCTGGCGGCCGGGGAGCTGTACCGGTCGTACAACGTGGCTGGAGAGCTGATGCCTAAGGGGGGAAAAATCACACCACTGAGCTCAGGGAGGGAGAGGACCCAGCCAAGCTATTTCTAGTGCGAAAAGCTAATTTAAAAGCCGAAAGAAATTACCGGAGTCGCATCTTAATTCATAATTTAACGAAACACTGTTCTGAGCAAAATTTACAGAAAGGTTTTTCTCTCTCATGCCACCTTCTGCAAAATCAAACCAGGCTTTGCCCTCCACTGCTTCAGGGCCTCAACGAGTGAGAGGTAATTCAAGGAATTATTCTATTTTTAACCATATTCAATTTCTACCTAATGCTCACGTAAAATGTGATTTTACCATAAGCCCACCACTTGATAAGGGGCCTTGATGGTACCATCTGGGAGCATTTTTACCCAAATTTTAGGAATCCTCAACTTTGTCCAAATATAGAAAAATTACTAAAACTCAATAATTTCCTTTAGAAAAAATGGACATGCATGTTTTTAATTCAATGAAGCTTAATTTTTTTTTTTTTTAACAACTCTATTGAGAGATAATTCTTAACATTTCACCAATTTAAAATTGTGTAATTCAATGGTTTTTGGTATACATTTTTTTTTTTTTTTTAGCTTTTTAAAAAAATATTTTTTTATTGATTTAAGGAGAGGGAGAGAGGGAGAAACACTGATGATGACACTCATTGGCCGACTGCCTCCTGCATGCTCTGTCCCTGGGGATCGAGCCTGGACTTGGGCATATGCTCTGGCCTGGGATCAAACCTGAGCCCCGTCAGTTACCCACTGAGCCAAACCAGCCAGGTCTGGTATTCAATTTTTAAAAATCATGGTAAAATACAATGTATCCCTCAGAAAATGTCTACATGGGTTGAATAACTGTAAAGGCAGTGTTTATTAAAATACAGTCCATTTTCAGCTGCTATTACACTTTTCGGGGGACACCTGTATATGCCCTGTGAACTTCACTTGAAGGTATAGATGTAGTCAAATCCCCAGATGTTGGACCCCATCTCCGTGCTTTAGTATTTACACTTACCTCTGCCAACTCCTCCAGCGTCAGCGCGAACCTCACTCACTCTCCTGGGGGTCAAAGGGGAGCCGGCCATACAGATGTCATCTGCTCTCTCCAGGTTCTGAGCTGGCATGACCTAGAAAGAATGTTCGCACAGAATGCCACCATTCAAAAGCATCATTAAGAATACAGTAATCATCTAGGGTAAAATTCAACTGTCTTGGCTCATCCTTATTCCATCTATCAGCTGTCCTTTCCACTGGCAGGCTTAACCATTTCAAAACCTGGCAAACAGATATTAAATATGAATCAAAAGTCCTTCCTGATTTGGAGAATTGGAGCATCAAGCACCCTAAGGCAGAGAAACTTCAGAGATCAAGGCAGAACACCGTTTTCCTCCTCTGTCACTGAACACCTGGGCGATCACACAAGTTATTTCTGATTCTTGTTTCCTATTTGCCCTCTCACCCTGCACATGGAAGACACGGAGTTTAACTGCTCCCTGGGAAGAAGGGTGATGAGCAGAATAGAAACCGATGTATTTTCCTTACAGAAAGATGTACAATCTCTCACAAACCTCTTCACAGGCAGGGACTCGGCTGTCATTCTCTCTGATCCTGTCCCAGAGCGGAGAGTCTGGCTTCCAGGCCAGATGGTCCAGGATCTGCTCTTCAATCTGATTGAGGTGTTTCACCACCTCTCTGCAAAGGCCGTCTTCTGCTCGGATGAAGACTTCTATCACCTGAAATAAAGAAAGGCCCTGGTTTAATAATATATACATGATTTAAAACTTTTTTTTACACATTTATAGACACAACAAAGACAATTTATAAAAATTTTAAGTTTAAAGAATAGTGCTGTTTTGAAACAGCTGCTCTTCCCTCCTGCCTTTATAATTAATATCTGAATTGCATTTATGAGCTATGTAAAATATTTTTATAGTGCTGGATTTCAACATTTAAATGAAAGAATGTCTTACCTATGAGATGGAAACATTACTCTTTAAAGTTTGTATTTAAAACATTGTGACTGCTGTAAATGAATTAAATAAATTCAACCAATAAATAAATAAAGTCCTTCTTGACCTAAATAAATATCAAGAAGGAAACAACAGTCAATGTCCTTCTTCTGTGTTCTATAGAACATGTCAAGAGGATTTGTGTTTCTAAAAGACACATTCAATATTATTTAAATTCCATAAAAAAGAGTGTTATATAAGATAAGCTAGTGATATGTTTGCTGTTTTATTTTTTTAAACTTAAGCTTATAAAAGTATTCTAAAAGTCTTTATGAAATGAAAGGAATAAAATGAAACTTGCGAGCACAGATCTTTATTGTATAGTAAAAGAATTTATAGTCTTAGGACTTTATTTCTTCTCTGCTCCCCAAATAGAGTAGAAATTATTAAACATATAATTAAAAATAAATGTACTTAGATATTAAAATGAACTAGATGGCTAAGAAGTTGGTTTAATCTGTAATTTTGTCATTAGTATCAGATTTTTGAAAATACCTTGTAAAAGTGATAAAGTGGCACCTCAAATATTTCAGTAATGAATGGAAAATTCCCAGGAGGCTTATAGGAAAAAGTGACAACCTCGAGGCAGCAGGCCAAGAGTGATCTGTGGAATGCATCTTGTTCCAGAATGCTCTGTAAGACAGTTATTAACATTCAGAAACATTAGTCTACTCCAATAAACATTTCATACCCAGTCAAGTTAAATAAAAATAACAAAAGTCTTATGCTCTGAATTAGTGAGATGTGCTTCTTTTCTTACAAACTTTTCTTAACTTCATAAATAAGTCAATTTTTTAGCAACTTTCAAAAACCTTATATACAAAAAATTACATCCCTGATTAAAATGTACATACACTCTGATGCTTAGAAGACTAATGATCTGGAAAGATGTTACACAATAGCATCACAGTCAGAGGCCACTGTCATAAAAAGATGGCTGGAAAGAGGACAGGCTACTTGGCTAAATGGTCAACATACTTATTCCGGGTGATGTAATCACAGTTGCTTTCTACATTTACTTTTTTTTTGCTTATTTATTTCTTAAAATCATACATTTTTTAAACCAAAAATGTTACATAGACACAAAAAGCATAGGCAACAAATGGTCTTGGTTCATGGACCAGGTTTCAGGCTTGATCCCCAGTAGGGGGCTTGCAGGAGGCAGCTGATTGATGTGATTTTTCTCTCATTGACATTTCTTTCTATCCCTCTCCCTTCCTCTTTCTCTAAAACCAATAAAAAAGAATTATCTCAGCCAAAGAGAAATGGCTGAATATTTATTAAAGTCCTACTGAGTCAATACTCAATTTATTCTTGCTATAGAAAGAAGGCTTGATAAAAACTCCACATTATTTAGAAGCTCAGTAAAGATTAAGTCTGCGTGTTTTAACCCTTAACTAGTTTTACTACCCACAGAAGCTGTAAGTTGTAATGCATGACCTGCTGCAGCAAGGCACTGAGTGAGGGACTGAAGGTCAAAGAACTCAGAACCAGCCCTCACTGGTTTGGCTCAGTAGATAAGAGTGTCCGCCTGCAGACAGAATGGTCCTCAGTTCCATTCTGGTAAAGGACATATGCCCAGGTTGTGGGTTCGATCCCCAGTAGGGGGTGTGCAGAAGGCAGACAATCAGTCATTCTCTCTCATCATTGATGTTTATCTCTTTCTCCCTCTCCCTTCCTCTCTGAAATCAATAATATATTAAAAAAAAGAACGCAGAATCATTATTCATAATAGCCAGTTTCCTTAGGTGCCAATCTTATTCCCTCAAAGCCACATATCATTTCTCTTGTTCAATAATGGTGTCGAATTGTTTTCTTTCTTTAGTGGCTAGGGCTGACAGGAAAGTACTACATTTTACTGTTCTGATCAATACATCGGATATTTACTCACAGATAAATCCATGTCTCCCAGTCTCTTTTGTTCCTGCTCAATAATGGATTCCAATACTTTATAGTAAAGCATCTCTGCAAAACGGAAGTGTCTGCTGGCAATTTCTGCATAAATAATAATAAATAAATAAAAACCAACACACAACCATCACATGCAAAGAAAATAAATATTGTGAAAAATGAGGGCCCATCCCATCCTCTGCCCACAATATAAAATTCAAAAACCAATACACTTCCTACAGTTGCTATTTCAATCATCCCTAAGATCCCTTAATTTTTTTCATGTTAACACTTAATTTTTCTGAAACTGTGAAGTGAAATTTCCCATCAATAACTATGACAGCATCCCATGAAGATGCACATTTTATTTTGTAGAGCAGCTCTGTGCTGGGAGGCATATAGTTGGTTCACTATTCCACTCAGATGTGGTTTTAATTAAAAACAACAAAACACCTAGCACAGGTCTGGGCATGAAAACAGCTACGTCTTCTTTTCTTGTTTTTAAAATTCTAAAGAATCACAATATTTCTATATTTAATATCCAGTCTACAAATGAAAACTAAAGTTTCCCAAGTGAAAAAAGTACTAGCAGGTCAACATAATAAAGGTATCAGAATAGCCCCAGCTGGTTTGGCTCAGTGGGTAGAGCATTGGTCTGCGGACAAAAGATTCCTGGGTTTGATTCTGGTTAAGGGCACATGCCCAGGTTGCGGGCTTGATCTCCAGTGTGGGGCGTGCAGGAGGCAGCCTTCAATGAAGCTCTCTCACATCCATGTTTCTCTCTCTCCACCGCCTCCCTTCCACTTTCTAAAAAGCAATGGGAAAAATATCCTTGGGTGAGGATTAACAAAAAATAAGTAAATAAAATAAAATTTCTCTTATTGAGAAGAGCTCAGAAATCACCGGGCTGACATAAAATTTGACATCCATATTCTAGCCTTCAATCTAAAAGCATAAATCTTTTCTTCACGTTTCTGACTCAGTTACCAAGAAAGGACTCAGTTACCAAGAAAGTAGTTAAACTTGAAGATGAGAACAGTAAAGACAATATTTAGCCTCACCTTTAGCACAATTACCCAAATCCTCATCTGGCTGGGAATGCTGAGAATATATTTCATACATTTCTTTCAATCTGTTGGCAATGGCCTGGGTTGGATCTCTAGAACATGTTCTAGAAAATAAAAAGAAATTATCTAATTTAAAGATTTGCAGAGTTACCAAGAGAGAAAGTGTTTACAACTCTGTATTTGTACTAACCTGTAAATATAAAATACTTTGAACACAAACTATACACTCCCTCCCCAAAGTAATCCAGGAGATCCCATATTTCTTTGACAAAGGTGCTGGTATTACCATTTTCAGTGAGAGGAAAAAAAGTATTGTGTATAGTTGTACCTTCTCTGCCGTATTCTGTGCCTGTCTGAAGTCCATGACTGGACCCCACCTACACGTCTGCAATCACAGATGGCCAACTAACTGCCCTCCACTTTCCTCTAGGGGGCAGACAACGCCCATTCCAACTCCCACAAAAACAGCTGAAGGGGAAGATAATCTCAACCACAGACTCAGATACACCATCACTGATATTCTAAATCCTTTCCCGAAAAGCAAGATTATCTCCATTTTTATTTATTTATTTTACTAGGAAGACAATGTATGTCCAATGAAGAAGCATACAGAGTATCACCATGTGGGCTTTTGTAACAACTAAGTTTTTATTTTGATCATAAATATACATATTGATTGTAAAAGTGTAACAAGTTCAGAAAATTATAACCGGTTTTTGTTTCTTTATAATCTTGCTAGAGATAGCTACTGGATATGTATACAAACAGAATTGTATTTCTGGACACACACAGGTACCTTTTTAGAACAAAGCCCTTCGGCTTTACCTAGTGCCTGCTGGTATTTAAGACCATGGATGGTATTTAAGATGAAAGAAGTGGCTACTTCTTGTCAGAGATCAAAGATTTGGAAGCTACAGAGATTCAATCAGGCTTCTAAAGTGTGTTCATGAAATACTTGTGAATTCCAGGTTAACAAGGTCGGTTTTAAAAACATGACTTAGAAAGAGGCCATTCAGACAGAGCCTGTTGGGTGTTAATTACATCACCTTTATGAAAAAAGGAGACTTCATAAAAACGTAAAGGGAAATCAGTCAGCTTACTATTTAATGAGTCCAGCTATGAGTGGGGAATTACTAATATGTGTACCTAGGGCCTTCTTATGTCACATCACCTGAAATAAAATGGGCCCTCTAAGGTCCATGTCATCCAATCATAAACTTTTAGGACTAACATCCTTTTCAGGCTACGGGTGATCTGTAGAGTTTAAGGAAGTCAGAGTGCTTTTACACTGGCTAAGCTTGTAACTGCCCACCTTCTCCAGTAGGACCCACCCTTCGGAAGTGTTTGACAACTACCATCTTCACCGATCCCCCTTCCCTGGAATTTTAAGATAGAACAGCTGGCGCTTTATTCTAAAGGGTCTAGTGCTGGTTTCTGTTGTTTATCAGCCACCCAGTCTACGTGCTCGGTGAGAGCAGCATGGACAGACTAAGACACTGAGGAAGATGGAGCTTCTAACCATACATCTTACGTTGCTATGTCTTCTGCAAACAACTGATCTAAAATTATTAATGTGTACATTAAGGCACAAGTAGTGAAAAATTAAAATAAAAAATTGGGAGAATAGTCCACAGCCGAATTGGGAAGGCAGGAAGGGCTCGCACTGACCTGAGGATCTGGCCCAGCCTCTCACTGGGCGTGTTCCGAAGGCCCGCCAGCATGGTGTGGAGACGGCTCAGGCTGTGCGTGGCTGCGGAGACCGGGGTCACGCAGGGGCTGCTGTTATCCTTAATGTACCTCACCCCCGTGAGTGGCGTGGAGATTCTAAGCCCTTTAGACTAACGAGAAGAAAGAACACTATTTTAGCTCAGAAAGACTCGGTTACTTCCCAAACGGAAACTGAAGGCACTCAGACTTTGTATTTTTTTTTTTTAATATATTTTATTGATTTTTCTTACAGAGAGGAAGGGAGAGGGATAGAGAGCTAGAAACGTCGATGAGAGAGAAACATCGACCAGCTGCCTCTTGCACACCCCCCACTGGGAATGTGCCCACAACCAATGTACATGCCCTTGACCGGAATCGAACCTGGGACCTTTCAGTCCGCAGACCGACGCTCTACCGCGGAGCCAAACCGGTTTCGGCAGACTTTGAATTTTTAATAGGTCTAGTGATGCGTGTATCCCCATTCTTGGGATTGAAACATGGCTCCCTAGAGCCATCGTGATCCCCTGAAGATGTGTCAAAGAGCAGTCTGCATTTCAGCTAACTGAAATTTCGCCTCTTGGAAGTTAATCTTTAAGATAAGGCATATTGCCCTATGACCCCCTCCTTCAAAACTTAAGCTTGAAGGCAAAAACAAGCATTAGACAATTTAGAATATCTTTGAGAAACAGCTAGCACCTCCCGCTATTTTTGTAAATACTTCAAGATTGTCAAATCAGTCTGGCCCAAGTGAAATCCAGGATTGCACAAAAGCCCGCCTAACGACACATCTGCTTCTGAGAGAGGCAAACCACCACGGCGAGGTGCAGGGGGCAGCGGGCACAACAGCGCCCTCCTGCCCGCCTTCGCCCGGGTCCCTGTGCCCAGCACAGCTGCCCCAGCAGACACAGCTTCACACAGAGCGAGTCAACGTTCTTGAACATACACACGAAAAAGACATGACCTGATGTCACAGAATTTAAGCCTGAATCCGTATGGTAATAAAGCACCTCTTCTAATTTTTCCAACACACTCTTAAAGGCTTAAATAGCTTAAGAGTATTTTTTTTTTAATATTCAAGAAAGTATATTTCCCCCTCTCATCATGTTTCTATCTCTCTGTCCCTCTTGCTTCCTCTTTCTAAAAATCAATAAAAAAACATTTTTTAAAAATGGAGATAACTCCGTTAAGGTAAACGTGATGGAAGGTTTCTCTTTCACCATGGAAGCAAGCAGAACGCACACACGACTGCCGACCCTGATGGCCCGGGACCCTGAGCGTGTGGCTGCCCCGCTCCCCGCCCCGCTCACCTTGTCCAGCTGCTGCTGCTGCAGGACGCTCTTCACCTGCGCCCTCTCCGCTCCCGCCCCGGCGCTCAGGGACCGGGAGAGCGGCCCGATGTCCTCGTCCGCATCCTCCCCGAGAAACACGCGCTCGTCCAGGTTCCCCACCGTCAGCACGTACTCCTCGTAGGCCTTGCTGATGGCTTTCCTGTAGGAAGGGGGGAAGGCCATCTCTGCTCCTGCTTTCGTCCACTGAATGGTCCCGTTTTTGTCTCCTACAAGCTCTCGCTGCAGAGCCGAGGAGCCTCCGCGCTGCGCTCAGCCCTCGCACACAGCGCGTTCTGCCTGGTCAGTCCAGCGTCCGGAGAGAAGCTTCACTACCTCTCCTCACTGCCCCAGCACCTTCCCAGGCCTCAGCACTTTCGTGTGGCCCCTGTACATTCCAAAAGAATGGACTTCAAAAATGATGATCCGAAAGCCGAACTAGGAAAGCTCTCAAGAGCAGCAATACAATTTTTAATAAACTCAAGAACGTTCTTGGAGTAACAGCTCATCACCACATTTAACGCTGAAGTTTTCTAAGCACACACCTCTAAACACTAAGGCCGTTTCCTAACAGAAGTACTCACAGATTCTCTCCAAAGTTCCCAGGCTCCAGGAAGCCTGTAAGGTTTTCTTCTTTCCCCTTAAGGAGCTACGAAGAAAGAAAAGATCCCTCAGTCGCCCTAGTGAGCCAGCTCTTTCCCAGAAAACAGGGCCCAGGGCTGCCCACCCACCTTCTTCTCGTAGAGCTTCCTGATATAGGGCTTCCAGAAGTGCTCCTTTATTCCCTTGGCCTCCAAAACCAGGCCTTCGTGCAAGGAGCAGAGCTTCTCGATGACGCAGGGCGGGTCGGAGGACGGCTTGAAGTCCTTGGCGTGGAAATCTTCCGACAGGCCTGCGGGGAACAGAACCACAGGACGGAGATGCAGGTGGCGTGTAATAAACCAAACTGCGCAGTGGGAGCCCCGGCCCGGCTGGGAACCTACGCTGTGTACAAGCTCCCCAGAGTGCACACGATGGAGACACGTGGGCTGTCCGAGTGTCTGGTGGACAAGCTTACCTTTAAAATTGGGGTTCACAAGGTCCTTGCGATTGGAACACTGAAGGGCATTTCCATAGACTAGGTCCAGAGCACACAGCAGCAGATGGTAAGAGTTGACCAAGTCATCGCTAATCATGGGGAAATTGCCTGTACAATTAGAGAGAGAGAGTGTTAAAATGCATCAACGTTACAGTGTGCTGAAAATAATCCCTTCCTTTAGTTAAAATGACGCCACACCCCTGTACAAAACAGAATCAAGAGGTACACAAAGTGTTTTGGCAAATTTACGTCCTGAAATATTACTTACAGTTTAATGAGTTTCTTAGAGTTTAATGAAAATTAAAACTTTACTAAAAATGCCATTTGTTCACTTAGCATTCATTAAACAAGCATTTATTTAATGCCCATTAGCTGCCCAACATTTTATAATCATTGGTCTGTCTTTTGAAAACTCAGAACACCGACTACTCTATAAATGATCTCAAACTGTAAGTAATTGTTTTATATGAAAATATTTTTCTGTCAAGACAATCAATAGAATCACTTACATGTGAACAGCTAAAAAATTATTCATGTAATTTTTTTTCATGTATGTATTTTATAAGGACCATACCCTAACCCTAACCCTAACCCTAACCCTAACCCTAACCCTAACCCTAACAGTAGGTGTTAAAATATTTTTCGGCATATGAACACAAACTCATACAAATGAATGCGACAGGATCACAATGAAAGATATTTAAGATCTAGAGCCGATATCCCACAAACTGTTGATGCTTGATAGCAAAGGGAAAAAACTGAAACCATGTCATTTCTGCAGTGCTGGTTTAACTCTGACATTGAAAACAATTTTTCCAGCCAGTAACCAGCTTTGTTATTCTTAGAAATTAAGTAGTTGTAGACTTGTAACTTTCAGCATATCCTTTTTTTCATTAAACACTGCATATACGGTATATGCTTCATGTTGATTTTACTTTCTTTTAACGTCAAATGAATTCAATTTAAATATCTGGCAGACATCCAAAATATTTCTAACCCTCAACAGTTTCCCACTTCATGCCTACCCAATGTACGCACGTACACACACACACACACACACGCACACTCACTCACTCTGCTTTGTTTCAGGCCTTTTCTCTCCTTCCCACCGAGTAAACTTACCACTTACCGCCCCATCACACGTGAGGAATCCTATTTTGTCCAGATGGAAACATTCAACAAATCAACTTAAATAAATTAATGAGAAAAAAAATATTTTTCTGTTGCGAGACTGGCAAATGATGATTAAGAGGTAAAAAGTTGCTATAACCACAGTAACTGGCTTGGCTCTGCTCTAGATACGTCTAACACTAAATGTACTCAGTTTCCCGGAAGTGGAACAGGAAGTGGTAGCGTCTATGGTTTCCAGCTACAGAGCCACCACTCTGCGGGCCTGGACTGGCCGCTGGCTGCACTTGCTGCAGGAGGAAAAGCCCGCCGGCGACCTCTCGCCCTGCGGCCTCTAAGAAGCGCTGACCCGCCCTAGAAGATTAGGATCTAAGTTAAACTCCTGGACTGGCCCGACATGACATGCTTCACATTTCAAATCCCAGCTCCGGGGGTAATCTCACTGTGAGAAAGTTCACCTTTCAATCAACAAAACCACCTGCGGAACCTCCGGCGCCGGCTTGTTTACAGGAAAGAGAAGCTGTGGGCCACCGCACAGCCCCTCGGGAGGACGCGCCCAGGCGTGTCCCTGGCGTGTGCTCGCCACCGGAAGCCAACACAGGCACACAGTGGGCTTACTGAGCAAGGAGGAGACCATCTGGGGTGCCGCATGGTGCAGAGGAAGCCATGAGGAAGGTGGCTACATCTCCCCCAAATACGGACATCACGAACCAGTACGCACTGCTCTCATAGCAAAGATCCTAGAGAATCGCAAAGACCACAGCCCTGGTTGTGGGGGAGCAAAGGCTGTTCAGATCAAGCACTTGCAGACTGAACGAATAAGATAAAACCCAGCTGCAGAGACAAAACATATGCCACCCTCGTGGATCAGGTGAGACCAAAATCCACACAAGGGCAATATATTTCTTTACAAATGATTTAGATAGCACGCTGACTCTCAGTTACACTCTGCCATAAAAGACAGAAGCAAAACAAAACCCCAGAAGTCAGACATACCTGCCCACAAGTGACCAGATAAGCATCCCACGTAAGATATGCACAGCAAGGCACCGCGGAGGCGGCAGCCAGGCTGCAGCCGGCAGGACAGCTGTCTGCAGGCTCTAAGCCTTTTACTTCCTGCTGTGATCCTATTCCCCCCTCCCCCCATCTCCTCTAAAGAAATTGTCAGAGCCGAAACCAGTTTGGCTCAGTGGATAGAGCATCGGCCTGCGGACTGAAAGGTCATAGGTTCGATTCCGGTCAAGGGCAGGTACCTTGGTTGCGGGCACATCCCCAGTGGGGGGTGTGCAAGAGGCAGCTGATCGATGTCTCTCTCTCATCGATGTTTCTAACTCTCTATCCCTCTCTCTCTTCCTCTCTGTGAAAAATCAATAAAATATATTTTTTAAAAAAAAGTTTATAAAAAAAAGAAATTAAAAAAAAAAAAGAAATAGAGTGCTGGAAAGCAAAGATCAAAGAGCTTACTTTTGACAGAAGATTCTTCTTTCCGATGAAGCATGCAGCCCAGAGGGGGAAGGGAGAGCTCTCCTACTAGCCAGGAAGGACCAGTGTAATCTGACAGGTCCAACAGCAAGACCACCGGGGTGCCTGTCCTCGCTGGATGGAGGTCCTTCACTTCCAGCATGAATCCGAGAGCCGGGAAGATGCGGGCTCAATGCCAGCTTTGTTTCTGGGGCTCACTTACATAATTCTGAAAGTAAGTTGGGCTAGTTGATCTAATAATGAGAATTTCTATTTTTTATGAAACTCCTTGCAGCTCTGACTTTTATTTTAACTTTGCATTTCATTGGGCTATCTTTATGCCAAAGGCATTCTATAGAGTCCAGAAAAAAAAGCATGTGACTTATGTAACTGCACTTCCTTTTCTTCTTTAGATTAATAAGAATCATTTCTACAGAGAAACGAAGACAGGACAAAACAAATCAAATCTTTTTTTTTTTTTTACTGAATGCAGACCTTGGGTAGGTCAAGTAAAATGAGAAAAAAGGGAGAGGAAATAAATTGTATGTAAAGGTATTGGTCAGGCATATTTATCTGAATAAGATGCAGAAAGCAATCTGAACTACTGAGGATACTCAGTCCCACTCAACTAAATAAGACTTGTCTCATGAAAAATGCAGACACACATTCATGTGTTTTCAGTCCGTAATTCAGAAGAACAGGTTTGGCTAGAAAAGATACTGTGCTTAAAACTTTAAACTTTTCCATTTAATCAGAGGAGTTTGGGATCTTATAAAGAAATCCAAGACTTTTATGAAAAGGCAATACTTAAAAAAAAACAAAAAAAAACCTGTGAATAAAACCAGTGAGACATTTTCAGCGAGAACCTTTTCCTGGTACACATTATAGGTTGACAAAAACAGTATCCAAACATTTAAATAAACTAGTATCTAAATAATTATTACTTTTCTTACCTTTGGCATATATAAAAAGCACCCAACAAAAATGGAAAATTTCAGACACCGTGCAAGGCTGACGCCTGTGGGGAGAGAGAAATCAGATGACAACAGAAGAATTCGTGAGACACCACAAATGACTGACTCAGGTGAGACACAAAACCCCCGTCAGAGGCTGTGAGAGCAGATCGCTTCACAGGGAAGGCTTGTAAGAAGTTCTACTCCCACCCATCCTGGTAAGGATGAGCTGGGAGCCAGGGAAGAGCCCGGCTCAGAAAGAAGTTTCTAGATAACCACAAAAGCTTCTGGAGGCCAAGAAGGCAGCGCAGAAAACCAACGAGGACCAGCAGTTCCCTCAGTGGCACCAGCAGGGTGAACGCTGCTTTAAGACCCACGCATGCAGTCAGCTATGTCCCCATGTTTTCCCGCTGCCATGGCTGATGGGATGTAAACCCTCCGTCGCTAAAAACATTCCCCGCTATATCAAGTCACAATGGGCCTTCTTAACGTAAAGCCTGGGCTTCCTGTCATTCCTTGTACTCCCGTTTTTAAGAGGACCTGTCGTCTTTTGCCAAGCTGTCTGCTTGGAGGTTCAGACCTGTTTTGAGCTGGGCTTTCCTGCTCAAAGCCTGCTCAGGTGTGGATATGGCATCGGCTGCATCCACATCCCAGTACACGCCTTCTAATAAAGCGCTCCGATGGGAAGCGCTGGGAGTCTGAGGCGTGGCTCCCGCACTGGCACGGCGGACTTGATTCACCAGCCCCAGTGAGGACTAACTGCCAGCGCCCTGCCTTAAAAAGCAGCTTCCCGACCTCAGGCAGGTGAGAAACGGTCTCGTTTTGATGGCTGCCAAGAGAGGAGGCAGACTTTTTAGTTTAACACACAAGGCGCTCTAAAAACTGGCTCTAGCCGAAACCGGCTTGGCTCAGTGGATAGAGCGTCGGCCTGCAGACTGAAAGGTCCCGGGTTTGATTCCGGTCAAGGGCATGTACCTTGGTTGCGGGCACATGCCCGGTAGGGGGTGTGCACGAGGCAGCTGATTGATGATTCTCTCTCATCGATGTTTCTAACTCTCTATCCTTCTCTCTTCCTCTCTGTAAAAAATTAATAAAATATATTAAATAAATAAATAAAGAAATAAAGAAATAAAAACCGGCTCTATAAGGTGAGGAGGACCCGAGAGCAAACTGCTTAGGGGGTTTGATCCTTGCTGTAGTGGTCCCCTTATGGGCACAGGGTTCCTCCGAGAGTCTTGAAATTGTCACAGTACAGAATCCTACACATGCTATGCTTTTTTCCTACATGTACATACATACATACCTTCTCACTTAATGGAAGCATTTTTTATGGCTTCTCTAGGCATATCTGAATTGCCTGCGTGACTAACTTAGTCCTTTGGGCCATTATTATATAAAACAGGGTTGAGGTGATCCCAAGCCAGTCTTCTGATAACCGGAGACTGCAGCTGGGCAGGGTGGGGAAGCCGGCCGCAGGGGTGACTCAGGTCCCTCGGGACAGAGGTGATTTCATCATGCCACTCAAAATGGCACAATTTAAACTGCGCAATTCTTTATTTCTGGAATTTCCTAGAAATGTTACTATTTTCAGACCACAGTTGACCGTAGGTAACTGAAACCAAGGGAAGGGAAACGGGATAAGGAGGGCACTATGTTCTCCGAATTGTGCTTATCTATCTGGAAAAGTGAAAAATACTGGGTCAAAGTTAAGTGTGCAGGCTTTCAGACATGATCAGAAAGCACGAGTTTGTAAGTTTCTGCTCCCCACTGATGCCCCCAATCCATCTTCTGGACTCTTGATTGGTCGTAAATATCAAAATACACAGAGAAGCTCCTTCATGGGGATTATTTAGTATTCAATTTGACATAAAAGTAAAATAACAGGAATTGTCGGTATATATTATAATAGAGAAAATGACATAGTAAATATTGTCAGTAATAGAAAATCAAGTGGTCAAATTCTATACCCAAGTTAAATATTTTGGTGAAAATATCTGTGTTCTGACTTTTGTATATTTGGTTGCTTACGTGAAAAGTGAAAGTTTATGAAAACGTATGAAAAGGGGTTTCATACATTTTGCAATATGAAAGTAGCCAAACTGTTCATGGTTAACATGCAATGAAAAGCAAGAAATTATTATTAAAAGAAAGCTAAAGGAGTAAAATGTTCTTTATGAAGTCACATTTGTTTTTTAAGACTAAGCAAAATAAACTGCAGGACAAAATTCAAGGGATCAAAACGTGGCAGACAGACACACGCACATCCTGAGCAGCAGAGAGAAAAGCATACCGCTGCTTTCTTCCTCTTTGTTGACGAGGCTGCTCCTCCTGAGGATATTTAAAAATGTCCTGAAAAATGGGCTCATATTTCTTAAAAATGACAGCAGAGACGGTGAAGTTTCTTTCTAGTCTCTCAGTCCGTTCTCTGAAATCTTGGGGTAGATTTGCCATCTCTTCCCATTTCTTCATCTTGTTAAAAAATTCAATTAGGCTAATATTAAAAACAAAAGATATTTTCTCAATTAACCCAAGTATAGAAATGCAATTAAATCAAAAGTAATTCATTGAATTACATTAATTTTAGACAGTAAAATCAAAACTCCTGCCTCTGACTAGCTTAATCTCCTATACAATGATTTCTCTGATCTTCCAAATCAACTTTTATTCTCATAGTACCCTAGGTTTTATTTACAAAATTGATTAAAAAAACAAATAATTAACCAGAGTAACGCAACGAATATTCATGTATCCGACTGCCAGATTTCACAAATATTAACATAGTGAATAAATTCGGCCGTGTCTGCTTGCTCTATAGAAACAGCCAAAGTTCCCATTTGGACTTTCCCTCAATCTCATTCCCCACTCTTCTCTCCCGAAACACCATTCTAAAGTTAGTCTGACTCTTTCCCATCCACTACTTACTAGAGTTACTATTTGGATATACTTGTATCCAAAAACAGTAAGCAGTATCTTTTGTATGAGTGATTATAATTTTATATAATAAGTAGCATTTTGCAACTTGCTTTTTCATTCAATACTGTTGCCAAGTTAATGTTGATACATTGTAGATCTAATTCATTCATTTTAATTGCTAGACGTATTCCTTCATATGAACTACCATGAATTTTTGCATTCCCCAATCAATTGAAATTGAGGTTCCTAACTTTTATTATAACCAAAAATACTGTAATGAACACATTCTTGTACATAAGCATTTCTTTACCAACTACCCCAGAAGTAGAATTGAGTCAGAGAAATGTGCCAAATTTCCCACTGAAGTGGTCTGTCAATTTATTCTCTTAGCAATGCACACCAGTAATATAGTTTCTCTTTCTCTCTATATAATGACCAATATTGGTATTATCAGACTTCAAATTTCTCCAATCTAATGAGTATGAAATGCTTGGTTTGTTTTTTTGTTTGTTTTTTACTTTGACTTCAGCTCTTTATGCACTGCCTCTTGTTCTTAGGCCTAAATATTACTCAGAATGGAGTCAGTTCAAAGTCAATAAATAGACTACAGCTAAATATTACATTTCTTGGTAATTATTTTAATAGTGATTTATTTTTAAATCGCTAGGTCCATAAATTATGACAAGGAATATTTACCTTCCAAAATGCCAAACATCCTTTTCCCACTGATCTTCAAAAAGCCATAGAAAAAAATTCACCCACAAGACACAAATAGTAAGTATAATAAATCAATTACACAACTAATAGGAAAAGCATTTCTGCCTCTTCTTGATAGCATTATTTGACCCTTTTTACAACTGATTATAATAGTGCTGATTATATAACAAATAGAAACATTAACACATTCCATATATATTACTATACAAGTGCTGTGCATGTAGTTTGCAGTGTAATATTTTATTTAACTTTCCAATCTGGAGTATTCCCGAAGGTTTCTCAATATCCTTATTTAGAATTCTTCAATATGACAGAATGAGATCACCTCCTAACAGTAAACTCTTCATTCAAGGGCCTGCTGTGTTAGTCACACTATTTTTCAAGTTCAAGCATAGTTACCTCTGCTCTGAACATCGCAGGAGTCTAGTTAAAGACACATAGTTTCCTTCAGCTGTCCCTTTGCTTACAGTCGGCACAGATTTTCTGCAAGCCACATATAAGGCACATGCCAACCAATGAAGATCATTTCCCTAGAGAAACAAATGAAAATTGTTACCTAATGAGTTATCCTATGTAATAAAGATGCAATATGCAAATGGTCGTTATGCTGTGGAGCGTAATGACAGGCCACATAACGACCAGATCAGGATCACGGATCAGCAGGAGGGTGGGGTGACCAAGAGCTACAGGACGGGGCAGGGCAGCAAACTATGGGGGGGAGGGGCAGAGGGAGCTACTGGGGCACGGATTCATGCGCAGGGCTACTACTATATATATATTTTTTTCAATATAAAAATTCTTAGGTTTAATCCCAAAGTGTTATTTATATTTATGTGTTTGTGGGTACTTTCAGTGATGGCCCTCATGTATGTGCTCATCTTTGTTTTTATCCTCACGTGAGGATATTTTTTCCATTGACTTCCTTAGAGAGAATGGAGGGAGGACATCCATGTGAGAGAGACACATCAACTGGCTGCCTCTGGTTCCCACCCAGACCAGGATGTAGATGGAGTCCGCAACCAAGGTACGTGCCCTTGACTGGGAATCAAACCCATGGCCCTTTGGAGCGTCGGCTAATGCTCTAACCACTGGGAAAACTGGCCAGGGCCATTTTCTGCTGAGAGGAGGGGTCTATGTTCCCTCACTTTGAACTTTCAGGGACATAAAAGGCAATACAGATTCATCTGGCTCTGTCAGGACTTGCATGGGGGAGGCCCGGCATGGGAGCAGAACACCTTGGGCAAATGACTTAACCATCACAGAGGCTCAGTTATCTTATCTGAGGGCATCGAGAATGGAATGAGCTACAAGCATGAAGTAAGAAACACACAAAAAATCAAAAGATAAAACTCTGCAGCCAGTATTCTGTAGTAAGTATTGCATTCTCTTATACCTGGTAGGGTACCTGACTACAAGCTCCACAAGCCAGGGTGTTTAAGTTTTGTACCAGCACCTACAATAGTGCCTGGCAAAGAACAGTTTGTCAAAAAAATATTTAATACATGAATAAATACTAATCTATTGGCTATGCTGAGCCAATAGATTAGTATTTATGACTAAAGTCATAAAAATAATTACTCACTTTCAAAAATAAGTAATCACTCATTTTCAAAAATAACTTACTAACCATCATTTTTTGTCACTTGCTTGTGTAACACTGGACTTCCTCTCCATGAATTTAAAGACCCCAATTGCATGGTGACAACGCTTGTTCTACGTAATTTACAGGGTTCTCAAGAGGGTACAATAAGAGCTTATTTGGAAGCACGTAAGCTCGGCACCAAAAGAACCCTTCTCCTTGCCTGACCCCAGAAACCACTGGGCCATGAACAGAAACATGGCCTGGCCAATCAGATCACCTACGTATCTTCGTCGACTCTACAGCACTGTCCCTGCGGGTGCTGTATGTGCCAGAAACTACCTCTTCCTACCTCATTTAACTTCCAGAACAGCTCTGTGACTCAGATACAAACATCTCAATTGCACATATCACAAAACTGATTTTAGAGTGGTTAAGTAAGTTGTCCAAAATCTCCTAGATCTGTCCAATACTAAAGCCATTGTAGTACTAGCTTTTCTTTCTTCCTGTCCACATAACAGTGGGAAGGGAAAAAAAAAAACACACACACAAAAAAAACAATGGAATTAAAATCCTATTAATGAGCCCAAACCGGTTTGACTCAGTGGATGGAGCCTGCGGACTGAAAGGTCCCAGGTTCGATTCCGGTCAAGGGCATGTACCTTGTTTGCAGGGCACATCCCCAGTGAGGATGTTTATCGATGTTTATCTCTCATTGATGTTTATCTCTCATCGATGTTTATCTCTCATCGATGTTTCTAACTCTTTATCCCTCTCCCTTCCTCTCTGTAAAAAAAAAAAAAAAAATCAATAAAACACATTTTAAAAATAATCCTATTAATGCAAAAACAACTCCAAAAATCACCTTAGTGGCACGTACGCAAAAAATACTCTCGGCGTACTCCAATCCCTGGCTAGGCTTTTCCACCCAGGGCCTACCTCTCCAGCCTGACTCCTCTTTCCGAAACCTGTCAAACCACTTGTGAGAGTCACGTGGCTCCCTGCCTGCGGGCTGCACGGTCCGGGGGCGAGGAAACTGCTGGTAAACAACCCGCACTTCCGCGTCGCTTCCCATTGGCCCGCGGAGGGGCGGGGCTTGCCAGCCTGGAGCCTCATTGGCTACAAAGAGCGTCCTTCTCACCCGCAGGCCCTTCCGCCGGCGGACAGGGGCACCACAAGCCCGGACCACAGGGACTGTCGGAGCCCGGGGCAGTGTCGGGGGTGGGGTGCGGGTGGAGGGATGGCCGAAAGGGGTTCAAGGTCGTCGCAGCCCTGGCTTCCTAATGTCAAAGGGGTCGGGGGTCCCTTTTCACTGCCGCTGGGAGGGACTCCCCTCGTTCCCACGTCCCTGAACCCAGCCCCTGACACCTCACGCGCCGACCCAAACAGAAGCCATGCCCGGACACAGGCGATCTGGTTCCGCAGAAAAGGAACGGGAGGAGGAGACCAGGGACCCCAACCAACCTCGTTCCCCGCGAATCCCGTTCCCCGCGCGGCCGCGGCCGCCGCACCTGCTCCCGCCGCCGCCGCCGCCCAGGTGGCTGTCAACGTGCAGTCACGACCCCGGCGCGACCCCGGCCTCCCTCCCGGGGGCTGCATTAGGGCACCAGGTGTTCCCCGTTGGGAAGCCCAAAGGGAAGAGCAGAAAGGCGGGGCCCGCCTCCGGAGCCGCTGAGAGCTTTGCAAAAGCCAGGCTTCCAGGTCCAACGCGCGCAGCGGGGGTGCCCACGCCGGGGCCTGTCGGGGGTCCCCGCGGGGCGCCCGGCCCACGGGGATGGGGGTGGGGATGGGGATGGGGATGGGGGGCAGGCAGGTCCGCTCCCGCGCCCACCCCGGGGCGCACCTCCAGCGTGTAGCTCTCGCTCATGCTCCGGTAGCTGTCCCAGGCCTCCGCCCGCGCCGCCTCGTCCATGTTGAGGCGGCAGCACAGCTCGTCGAACCGCTGCTGGGTCTGAGGAGTCGGCGTCCGGGTCGGCTGCGCCGAGTCCTCCGCCTCCCCGTCGTCGTCCTCCTCTTCCTCCTCCTCCTCGTCCTCCTCCTCCTCGGAGCCGGCCGCCTCCGCCGGAGCGGGTGGCGGGGGCGGCGGCGACTGGTCGCCTTCGGATGGCATGGCGCACCCCTGGGCGGCCAGTCCTCAGGTGAGCTGCAGGCCCGGGCCCGCAGCCATTCAAACCGCGAAGCGCCCGCCCGTCTCCGCCGCTCGCACGGCGACTGCGCCGCGGCCGACGGCGCGTGACCTCACGTCGGCACCCGTAGCGCCGAGGAGGGCCTGCAGGGAAATGTAGTCCGCGCCGGGGGCCCACGCGGGTCAAAAACCATTTCACAATAACCACTTCGCGCAGTCTCGCCTGGGCTGAAATTAAAGCGGTTTCTCTACATGGTAGGCATGTCTCCCATCGCGAGAGCCACACAGTAGGGCGCTCTCGAAAAGAAAACATCCAAGGAGCATTGACATGAGGTTTCATATCCAAGCTGAAAGAAGACTCAACAGCTTGGTGTCCTAATGTTAAAAATAAGAATAGCCAGGGCTTGTCTGCCAAGTTCATTTTTCGGCCTTGCTCCTCATCTCTAGCTTTTCCCTAAGTTTGCATTGTATTTGAGCCTTTTAAATAATTTCACTTTATTTCCAAAACGCTTTGGTATATAAATGAGTATAGTGTACATTTCCATGCCTGAGGAGCCTGAAACCAATGTGAACGGAGGAAAAGAAACCCTGGGACAAAAACCCGCGTTTCAGGGAACTTTAGCAGGAACAGGAGGAGTCAGTGAGGATGCCTGGCAACGGAGAGGAGGATCTGGAGAAAGACAACAGGACACTCAGGGACAATCTCTGGATTTTCTTTTTCTTGGTTGAGATAAGATGATAAAGGGCAAGAACAGAGGCCAAGTACAACTGCTTTATAAGTATTTGTAAGTTCATAAGAAATTCTAGTAGTTTCCTTATATTTAGGCTGGAGATACTAAATTTTAGAAAAATGATATTATTTCGTACACCAGCAATACAGTTTTACTAGAACAAAACTTTGATTTGCTTAGAGGTAAATTTGCTTAGAGTAAAATTTGTTTACCATTTTTAGTAAAGTTGAATGAAATAAAATTAATGGTAATAAACCATCAAATGTTTTATAAAAACATGCTTTGCTTGTTAATACCAATATTTTCAAAGCCAGTGGATTCTAAATAGTATAGTAATTTGATACTAACATCCATTTTAAAAGTACATTTACAAAACTTTTAACTATTAGTCATTTTATATCATCCCTGTTTCTCTACCTAGTATTCCCATCCTACTATATCAATAAAATTTTATCTTATTGTTTTGTGCTTGAAAGTCTGTTCTTGAATCCTTCATATTTCCTGTCATCAAAAATGTATGTACTGCCTTGGCTGGGTGGCTCAGTGGGTTACAGCATCAATCCATACACTAAACGGCTGAGGGTTCAATTCTGGGTTAGTGCACGTCTCTAGGCAGTCTCTCTCTGTAACAAAAGCATACCTTTGGGTGAGGATAAAAATAAAGAAAAAGTGTGCAAATTAATTTTTAGGTATCCTTCTGTTTATTCTTTTAGGTCGGATTCATTGAGGTATAATTTGCATGTAGTAAAATTCACTTTCAAGTATACAGTCCTATAAAGTGTGAAAAATAGTCATGTCCACCATAATCAAGACACCATAATCATTTCCATTCAAAGTTTTCCTAGTACCCCTGTGTAGTGATCCCTCCTCACACGGTCCCGGGCAACCACTGGCCAGTTTTCTGTCCCATAGTTCTCTATTTTCCAAAATGTCATATAAATGTAATCATACATTATGTAACCTTGATCGGGCTTCTTTCAACTTAGCATAATGCCTTTCAGATTCACTCGTGTTGTTGCATGTGCCAGTCATTGGTTCCTTTTTATTGCCAAGTCTCTCATCTGTGTCACAACATTTATTTATCCTGAAAACATCCAGGTTGCCTTTGGTGATTATGAGCATAGCTGCTACTAACTTGCATGTGCATGTTTTTTTGGGTGACACAAGTTTTCACATGATCCAGCAATTCTACTCCTAGAGGAAAGAAAATCACTATCTTGGAAAAAATGTCTGCACCAGTACTGTATATTCATGGTGCCATTATTTACAAACAGCATGCAAACCCGTGTTCTTCAACAGATGGATAAAAATATATACATACACAATAGAATATTACTCAGCCATATAAATGAAAACCCTGTCACTTGTGAAATGGATGGACCTTGCGTGCATTATATATACGTGAAATAATCCAGACAGGAAGAATACTGTATGATCTCACTTGTGGAATCTAAAAATAAAAAAAACAACACACACACAGGTACAGAGAACAGATTGGTGGTTCCTGGGAGATTGAGAGGAATAGGAAGATGGTCAAAAGATACAAACTTCCCAACTTATATGTCCTGGGGATGTAATGGACAGCATACTGACTATACTGAACAGGGCTGTATTGAAAGTTGCTGAGAGAGAACTTAAAAATCTCATCCCCCCCCAAAAAAAATTTTGTATCTCTGTGTGGTGATGGATGTTAACAAAACTTATGGTAATTGTTTCACTATACACACACACACAATTTGGTGTGTGTGTGTGTGTGTGTGTGTGTGTGTGTGTATATATATATATATATATATATATATATATATATATATATATATATAAATAAATAAATATATATATATATATATATATATATATATATATAAAATAACCTGGTGCATGAAATTCTGCACTCTGTGGGGGGAGCCTCAGCCCAGCCAGTGCCCTCTTGCAGTCCGGGAGCCCTTCGGGGGATGTCTGACTGATGGTGGGCCTACGCCATCAGTCGGACATCCTTAGTGTTGCAGTGGAGGTGGGAGAGGCTCCAGCTACCACAGCTGCACTTGCCACCCTCAAGCCTGGTTTCTGGCTGAGTAGCGCTCCCCATAGGAGTGCACTGACTACTAGGGGGCAGCTCCTACATTGAGTGTGGTCAGTGAGTGTCATAGTGACCACTCATTCTGCTGTTCAGCTGATTTGCATATTAGGCTTTTATTATACAGAATGTTGTACAATGTCAATTACATATCAATTAAAACTCAGTATTGGTCATTAAGAAGTTTGGTTCTTGGGTTCTGATTATGCAATCACACAATCACTCACTCAGCCAAAGTCTGCCATCCATCTAAATATTCAACAAATGTTTAATTAGTGTTGACTGTATGTCAAGTACAGTGACCAGCACTGAGTGTACAGTCATGAATAAGACAAGCATGGCCTCTGCCCTCAGAGCTTATGACCCCATGGGTAAAGCAGACCTAGAACAAGTAATTGTCAAGTGTAAACATAAAAAAGAAATCAGGGAGCTATATGAGTGCATCTCAAGAGACCTTAAACCTCTGTGGTGTGTGTGTGTTGAGGAGCTCAATAATTTGGTCTTAAATATATTATACTGCATCTATATATTAGAATAAGAAAGTACTTAAAAATGTTTTGGAAGATTTTTTAATGACATGGAAAGAAAATCATGGTATAGTAAATGAAAAAAAAAAAAGGTTACAAAATGGTATGTACAGTATAACTCCATTCTTATTAATATATAATATGTATCTGCAAAGAAAAAGGACCCAACATTTAACAACTATCTGAGTGTACAGCATTATGGGGCGGGGGGGGAGAGAGGTTGTTTACTTTGTGCTTTCCCTACTTCCCTTCCCCTTTCCCAGATTTTCTGTAATACACATGTCTTGCTTTTCACTAAGAAAAAGAATTTAAAAATTCATCAAGATGTTATTTTTGCCTAATAAGTTGGCAAATGTTATTTCAAAGGACAATACACAGTATTGGTAAGGATTTGGGGTAAATCAACATTCACAAAATGTACCCTGCTAATGGTAGTATAAATCGCTACTAACAGCATCATTATAAACTCGGCAAAACAAAACTCTTCAAAACACAGTATTTTCACTTTTAGGGATTAAGAAAATCATTAGGGGTAAATGCAAAAAAAAAAAAAAAAAAAATGCATATATAAACCCAAATGTCTATTTTTAAGTACATGGTTAAATAAGTTACTACATCAGTATGCGCCAATTCTAAATTATTCATATTAAAAATCACATTGCAGGATACTCATTGACATAGGTCAGTATTATCAAGGGCAGAAGAGTAAATAGTATGCCCCATGTAATACTGATTTAATATGAAAGTGTATTAGTTTCCTAGGGCTACCATGACATAGGACCAAAAACTGGGTGGCTTAAAACAGAAACTTATTCTGGAGGCTAGGAGTCCAAAAATCAAGGTGCTGGCAGGGTAGCTGCTTCTGGAGGCTCTGAAAGAGGATCCGTTCCACGCCTCTCCCAGCATCTGGTGGCTGCTGGCAAGCCTTGGCGTTCCTTGGCTTGTAACCACATCACTCCAGTCACTGGGGGTTGTCTCGTAGCCTTGTCCCCGTGTCTTCACTTGGAGAATGCCAGTCACTGGATTAAGCGCCCACCCTAATCTATCAAGATAGTATCTTAACTAATTACATCTCTCAAGGCTATTTTCAAAGGTCACATTCTGAGGTTTTTCGTTGACATAAATTTTTGTTGGGCACCCGTCAGCCCACTACGTGTACAGAACATACATATAAAAAAGACTGAAAATCTGTATCAACAGTATTTTTAATCCCAGGGTGGATTTAATGAATGACTTAAATATTTTTCTTTGTGTTTTTTTCTGCACTTAAAAATAAATAGCTTATGTACTGTAGTTACAATTATGTAGGGATTAAGGTCTCAATTTATTGTATAAGGTGAAGATTACCTGTAGTCAAATATCACTCTTTTCCCTCCTACAGCTCACAAAACACAGAACACATAAGTGTATAGTGTATCTTCTCTCAAAAGCACCGACATGGCCACGTCTTCCTCCAGCATCAGAGTGGATTACCGGTCTTCTGGGTTAGCGCTAGATGAAGTAGTTGGCTTGTGTTTACATGCTATATTGTACGAAAAAAGAAAAAGAGGTTTTCTAAGCATAAAAGCATAGTTGAAAGTGTTCAAGTTAAATGAGTGTATCACGAGACTCCACTGTTTTACTTTAGAAAAAACAAGTCTTTTCATCTTTACAAAAAACACTACCAATAATAGCCATGAATTGAGAGTCATAAGACTACATAAAAAAATAATTACTGATTTCCAAATGAACCCCTTTTCAAGGTTAGGCATATCTGA